TGCGATATTCATATTAGAGAAGACAAAAGAGCAGTATTCAAGGGAGGGTCGTACACATATTTTGTAGAGAGTAAGTTTACCCTCTGTTGTGAAAAAGTTTTTCATTATAAAACCAATTAGCCGTCTAGATTTAGAAATAATATAGGAGGCATGTTCTTCAAAGTTTAGGCTTCCTGTGTAATTAATTCCTAAATCGTGTACTGATTCGAATGTTTGGACTCTACATTCATTTAAGTGAAGTCGCGGTTTATAGGGATGCTTTCCAAAGTGCATGATCCCGCACTTGTTGAGGTTAAATGGTAATTGCCATTTTTCACTCCATATAGTTAAGTTATTGAGGTCCTTTTGGATCTGGGATACACTTTCGCTTAGTGTCTCAGGCTTATAGCTGTATACTATTTTGAGATCATCAGCATATAAGTATGGTTTCCCAAATTCTATGGTGTTACATATATCGTTTATATACATAAGAAACAAAAGTGGACCTAATACGCTTCCCTGGATGACTCCACTGGTGATTGGTCTAGGGGACGAGAGACAGTCATTGTACTTTACCATCTGTTTACGTTCTGTTAAGAACGAAGCAAACCATGAGTACAGTGGGTTGTGTATTCCGAAGGACTTTAGTTTGACGAGTAGCCTTTTGTGTGGGACCTTATCAAAGGCTTTCTTAAAGTCAAGGAATAGGACTGATACAAGGAGTCCGCTGTCTCGTTTCAGAGTTATATCATTCAGGTAGTCTACTAGGCATGTATCGCATGATCTGGACCTAAGAAATCCATGCTGGGAGGTCGAGATGAGATTATTAGTTAGTAGATGTTGGACTACAGCCGCCTTAACTACTTTTTCCATCACTCTGGATACCACTGAAGTTATGTTTATAGGCCGGTAATTTTCAACGTTTGCTTCAGGTCCTGTTTTAATTTTGGGAATGATATGTGTAGTTTTCCAGGCAGTAGGGTAACACGCTGAAGAGAGTGATATCGCGAATAGTTTGAGAAGCAAAACACACATATCATCACCTCCACGTTTTAGCATGCTAGATGGGATACCATCTGGTCCATCAGTGTAGGAGTGTTTCAATGTACTGATTGCCTTGGAGATATTTTGTACACTGAATTCTACATTTGTAATTTCACAGGGAGTTACTGGGATTGGTTCTGAATCATTAAATGGTTTTTCGTTAGTTAGTGAGAAACAAAAATGTTCACTAAATAATTCTGTGATAAGTTTGGGATCTTCGTATACTTGTTTGCCTTTAATGAATATACTCCCTCTCGATTTAGAGCGTTTAAGTTTATTTTGGAGTAGTATGGTGAGTGCAGAGGAGTTATTACTAAGTTCAACTGCACGTTTTTCCTGTGCTACTGCTTTTTGTTTACTTATTGCCTCTGTTCGGACAAGTATTTCTGTCATCGTTACTAAAGAGGAAAAGTCATTTAAGTTGTGGAATCGAGTACAATGTCTTTGAAGACGTCTTCTTGTACTGACCGGTATATAGAGATCTTTGGAGAACGTAGGTTTACAGTATTCTAAAGGTGCGATGTTGTTGATGATACTTTTGATGTTGTGATAAAATATATTGATTAATGTGTCGGTATTGTTTGAGGTAAAGAAAGTTCTCCAATCAGTGCTTCTTAAGTAATTGTGGAAGTTATTCCAATCAACCTTGCGATAGTTTCTACGAAGTGTTACGGTTTTACTCCTATCGGTTGTGGTTTTTACATTAAGGCTGCATATGACAATGTTGTGATCACTACCTGGGAACTTTTTTCCAATATACAAAGTATTGGGGATGAGGCCACTGGTAAAGACTAAGTCTAAGATGTTTTGATGTCTGGTAGGGCTATCGACATACTGAGTCCATTGTCCGAGCTCTAGACATTCAATAAATGATTCATAACGTCTCGGCGCTTTGACTGGCAGCCAAGAAATTTCGGGCATATTGAAGTCACCACAAATGAGCTTGCCTGTGAATGAGAGGGATGATGCTAGTGTGAATACCTCCGATAATACTGCTATTTCATCTATTGATGCGTTAGGTTGACGATAAACACAGCCGAGCAGTAAGGTAACGGAATTCGACGGCTTTAATACAATCCACACCGAATCCTTCAGTTTGTTTAGTTCAGGCATATCACATAGCAGTGAGTTTAGGCTAGAGTGAGCGTAAATAAGGCATCCTCCGCCTCGTCCATTCAATCTATCGCTTCTATATAGGGAATAGTTATCAAGAGATATACTTCGGTCGGAAATATTACTGTTAGTCCATGCTTCAGATATCATAATAACTGATGGTTGATATATGGATACAAACAGGGCTAAATCCGTCTTTTTGTTGCATCCCTAAACAGTCCTATCCATTATAAGTATAATTGTCTTCGACTAAACTTACATTTTAATATGTAACGTTTCTGAGAAAAATTATATGAGCAACAGTTGAAGTTGATAGCTTTTTCTGCTCGCTTGACGAACATATACAGGAACTGTGTATAACATTACTGTAAGTGCAAAAAAATTGGTCACTTATTCTTCTTAACTAAAACGATGCGCGTTTCTTTCAAGTATGGTAACTAAACCATGTCGTAGTTAATATTAATTTATGATGTGTTTCTGATACGATTTACGAATTAATGAAGAGCATTGTTTAAGACAAATAAGACACCTATAGGTACATTCTGTTAACTGCTATTTCACTTACTGATGGCGAAGTTCAATCGTTTGTTTCACGATTGATTTGCTGTTTTTCAGAATTGCATTAGGCTGAGAAAGTCCTCATACGTTTTCTGATATGCAACTTATGGCTTCTGTCAACAAATTTAAAGGCTCAAACCTTTCTAACAATCATGTCTATGCCAGTGAACAACTTAGCGAATTTCCGAATATGGAGAATTATGTGGAGAAACAATTTACACTTTTGTATTCCGATTCCAATTTTATATCGCAAAGAATATTATGCAAAAACAACCGTTAGAGAAACCACATTCTTATCGATGACTCGTAAGCAAAAATTGGCTTCCTCGGATCTGTACATACTGTTTGCTTCGTCTGGGTGGTGGAATTGTTCTTATTACGAAAGGTGTGAGTGTTATCTATCTTCCATCGACTGCAGTGTCCAAGAATATGATGAACTATACATTTTTTATTTTTTAATTGATCGAGCTTGCCTGGAAGATTTTGTCTTCTTATGTATGCCAGAAGAATATGACGGCAAGGACACGGGCATGTTTCAATCTATCCACAATTCAAGTTACATCTGCTCGCAATACTTTTTATTTCCAGGCTAACAGAACAGGAGGTCCTCGACCAAAATTATCCTCAAAATTTACCCAAATCGGACAAACGTGTGTTTAGGAAGTTACGAAACAACAATCGATCCAACTTGTGCACTACATGACAGAGAGAGCTAAATCAATATTCTTCGCAATTATTTTGTGGTTTTGCCGCAGCAAAAGATCACTTAAGTATGAGAATACCTGTCATTCATGCAACCCAGCGGACAGCCAATGAACTCACAACATTTGAAGTGCGGTCGACGCATGTTGTCACAAATCTGAAGTCTCTAAGTCATGGCAAGGCATTAGACTGTGAAAGTGTTCACCCACTCACACTAAAGCAGTGTGAGCTCCACCGGCTAGTCCGTGTTTCACCTGTTTAGCCTTTCACTAGAACCTTAATAGCTGCTGAAGTGTTGAAAGAAATAAACTACTTCCCCCACTTTCACAGAACGTAGAAAGAGCGGGTCTCAATGTAAACAGTTGTTATCTGTTAAAGTCCATAGACAGTCTGATTGCCAACCAGGTAATAAAACATACTGAAAATAATAAAACCTCATACGAAGCACAGGACGGATTTAAATCATCGAGAAACCCTCGTGGCAAGGAACATCCAAATAGCACTGAAATCAGAAAAAAAATTTCAGACCATCCAACACCTTACTTCACGTAGTTCTGAAAGTAAATGTGAAAAATATGGGTTTTAATGATTTTCCACCGCCGAGTTTACGGAACTACGTAAAACAACGTATACTGATATAAATTTAGCAGTGTTGTGTTAGTATTCAAAGTCTCTCAAGAAACATATCAAAACTCTCTTTTTACCTCATTTTTATAAACGATATATCGGATGACTTCAATACTTTGGTTACAATATATAGCTATGAAACCAAACTACGTAAAATTGCTAAGTATACGGATCAATAGTAGTACTACAAAGAAACCATACATCATTTAAAAAACAGGCGGAGTAAAATAACCCAAAATGAAGCTATCTGAACACCGCACCAATGAAATTTCTTCACGAAAAAACAGCAATTGTGCTGAGCCTTATATGACGTTTTACTCACTTTTTAAACATCATGAAGTGACTATCCACCAGCTATTTCAAAATCGTATTCTACCTTTAAAAACCAAAATACTGTCACGCGTTCTCCCCGGTAATAAAGTGATTTTTGGGAAGGAGCCCATCAGCTCATCAAAGGTGACTATAGATTTAAGGCATGAAATCTAAGTGGACCACTTCCTGAGGCCTACGTATTATCGCTTTATTTCAGGTTAAATAAAGACGAAATCACCTTGTTTACAGAACATCAAGCAGCCCAGAAAATGTAGGCATAGTTTTGTTACAAGAAGGCCAGTTAAGTAATTCACATCATTTACTGCAATCCTTTTTCATATATCATCATGCATTAAATACACATAACCTATGATTTTCATCGAGTTTCACACTTTAATTATACTATCTTTATTCAATTTCTCCTTATCTCTCTTCAAATGTCAGACCAACCGACAAAAAAAGCCTATTGAACAACACTGAATATATAATCAATGCCTTATAACAAGAGTGTGTTAGAAGAGGCTGACTAGTTCATATCATTTCAAGGCTCAAACAGAGGATTTCGACTGTTTGGTCTCATCAATGAGACCTTAGGTATGCCCTTGAAAATTTATGGGGCTGATTTGACACTAGGTTTCTGCTGAGATATTGAGTCCCAGTGTGTAATGGAATCGTGGAAAAGACTTACTGATGCTCCAATTTCACGGGTTAACCATCAAGCAATTTGTTTGGAGGATCGTATATTTGTTTTCGGGGGTTTTAATTCTCAAATGTTTGATTTAGACTACAATGAGCGTCAGATAGACACATTTATGTGGGATATTCGTAAGCTCCATTTTTTATTGGTGCGATTTCGGTAGAGAAAAATAAATGGGAGCAGCTCCCTTGTCCTCTCTTACTGAAATCATGGGACTGTACTCTCAAATCTTGGGGACCTGATCCCATCCTAGAAGTAAGTAAAATAACGAATGATTGGATAAGTATTTTTATTTTCAATGTAAGTTCAGGCAACCCAACTTTATGGCTTGGCACCTACTCACTCTTGTCACTATATGGACACTTATGTAAGAGGTCCTCCATTTAAGAAACCGCTTGATCGCCCCACAAACCAAAGAGGTATATCCGATCCCAATAAGTTAATTTTCGGGCGTAAACATTCGTATTCTTTAAACTTCTCGTGGGTTCTAAAATGCTTGTGGGTTCATAGAAATGGCCGTATGTATTTGTTTGCTCTATGTCTTTGGGTTTGGTCAGTGGGCTGATTTAGGGAGTATGGACATTAAATTCGTAGGTATAGCACTACATGTACTTGGAAAATTGATCCACATCGTGTTTTTGAAGTTGGCGTTTGGTTGGTTTGATTTGTGTAAACTTGATATTTACTTAAGGTTTCAGGCTTAAGTTTCCTGAGATTTAAGGAAGTTAAGTTTAAAATATTTTAAATATCGGTTATACTATGTATGAGTGGGTCACTGAAAATCAATGTTTTGTTTAATTATTTAGTTCACACTAGTTATTTAGCATATTCTTCCGACTATTATACAGGAATATATGGTGACGGTTCTAGTGCGCATGGTTAGGTCGTTTGTTAGCCAATAAAATTACAGTATGACTCCCGCGTTTGATTGTTATTCATCATGTCATCACGAAGTTGAACAGTGATAGCTGTAAAAATTAACACTACATTCAAAAGAAGCTCAACCATCAAGTCCCACGTTTAGCTATCTATACATACCGCGCTTTGGGCAACCGGATAGTATCACCAAACACGGTGGTCTGAAGCCAAGTGTATGAACATGTAACCGGTAAGTAATCCACATACATCAATTTATGTATAGCGCCCATATAATAGTTGGATATCTCAACATTCTTACATGGACAAACTTTCTAAATTGTGTTCAATTGAGAATGGAGATTTGTGGAGATTGTAGTAATTTTAATAGTTGAATTCATGAATCGATCTAAACTGGAGTTTCCGTGAAAAGCCTCTACCAGTGGAGTCAAATCCGTGTCGGGTGGAGACAGTTATCCACCCCAAACAGTGATTAAAGGAATTCGCAAGATCATGCATCATGCCCCAAAATGCCTCGATACGGTTGAGGGTGGGGAGAGCCAGTTCTTCCTCTCAAAATGCTCTCACATGGTCACGCGTATACAACCACTCCTAGGAAAGTCCTATACACTACCGTCTCGCGGCGGGGGTATTTTCACGAAATTGGGAGGAAGAAAGGCGGATAACCGGAGCTTTAACCGAATTGGTGGATACGGAAGATCCACCTAATGGAGTTACAAAACCCTGAATCCAGACCAACCGTTCACATGGGCTCCAGGATCCTTAGGGAAGAAGTGGCGTATAAACCTATTTTTGACCACTGGCTTCCGTGGGACCTCGTCTCCTATCGTTGCTCCACTGTCTTGTGGAGTAGACGTCTGGGTCAAAGGCTCGGGGGTGGCCCTCTAAGAAAACCACCTGCTTCGGTCTGGGCACCCGGACAGTATCCCAGCCCTCATATAAATCATTTGATTTGTGTAACGCATATATATTTGGTGCCTTCTTTTACCAATCTTTATGTGTTCAAATAAATAAATAGGGATCAATTAGAGTTAAAAATCAACACCGTTGAATGATGGCTCAGTGGGCGTAAATGTTAATATGTATTGGCGCTAGCACGTGATATGTAACTAATTTCCTTCAAAAATTGTTTCAGTTTTACTAAGAACATGCTTTGAGACGCCTGGTACAATAACATTTTTGGTGAATTACATCAACTCTGACTATATATCTTGCTTATCTTATTTGATATCAAATTATTGGAAAGTAAAATTGAATATCATTAAAACAAATTTTTCAACGTACCACAGTTCGATTGCTGAACAATTTTTAGAAAAAATCTCTTAGAATACACTTATTTTACAGTTGATTAAACTGACTGACATTTGTTTTCTGTATTGTAGAGTAGTGGTTCTATCCAACCTAGTCTTAGATTCGGTCATACTGTTGTTGCTTGGCGTGGTCGAGGTTGGCTTTTCGGTGGAAGAATGCAACAGCGAGTATGCCCTAATCAGCTGTACATGTTCGATCCTGGTTCGAAGTTTCTCTGTCAATCGGTTAGTCGGTCTGCATTGTCCGGTAGCCTAAAATTAAATCATACTTTCAATGCTAAAAAGTTTCATCCTCCCTGTTGGGCTGAAGTAAGAGGTACGGTTGGTAGCGTACCGAGTGCTCGAGATGGTCATTCAGCTACTGTTTTAGAAGATGCAATGTTTATATTTGGTGGCTTCGAGGATATCGTAAGTTTCTCCACGTTAATTGTAACCTCAGCTATGCGGTCTAGTTTACCAATAAATATTGAGTATTTTGGAGCATTAATTTCCATGTTTATTTCTATTTTCATCACAAATGAAATAATGTTTTTATCTTATTCTGAAGTTATATTCAAGTATCGCTGTTAACTGCGATGCTTCTTATTGTATACGATATTAATATTGTACCTCTTAATTACGTTGGCAAGTAACTATTAAATACCATCACGTTTATTTTGTGTCTGTTTAGCCGTGTGTTGACAGTAAAACTTATCCACAGCTATTACAATTAGTCACGAAGCTACCCAAACTTTTGGTCACTTCGTTTGTAATTTTTCAACTTGGGTTAACTGAATTTTTAAGTTCTATTTAAAATACAGTTTGATGAAACTCTGTGATTTCTCATACGCGTTTCTAATTGAAATCATTTGAACAGGATTTCTTAGGCAGGTATTTTCCCATATTTTTAATACAAATGGTAGTTAGTTTCTGGACACAATCGTAGCATATCGTAAATAACTTACCAAGTAAAAAACGGTCATATCGTCTATACGGACTCTGAATCCGTAATAATGCATTGTATAATGTAGTCAGGGTCCACTTATTCGTGAATAAGTGTTCTCGAACATTTAGCCAGGCTTAATGAACAAATGTAAGACCATTTTAATGCGATTACTTTACTGTCACGCAAAACACCAAAGGCAATTAGTAAGGCTATAAAATTAGTCTTTTGATTTCATCATAGTCAGTCAGTCAGTCAGTCAGTCAGTCAGTCAGTCAGTCAGCTACAATGTAGGACCAGGCACATATGTGCATCGGTCCAGGTTGCCATACCGCATCAGCACAAGATGAACACCGGATTCATAGCAGTAGTTAGGTGAAAGGTGGTAATATATAAGAGAAAGATTGCATATAGAAATATAGTACAAGAAGAAAGAATTGGTTCGTAAAAAGAAAGATATGAAGTGATTTTAATCTCTTAGTTTAAGGGAAGACAAAGAGTGTATACACTGACGCCATTGTGATCGATTCTGAGCCATGTCACCAAGAGTCTCCAACCATTGATTACGATAGTCACGCGGAACACAACCAAGTAGTCTGCATCTACCAACATGGCTCAGACTAGAAGTTAGTGTCTTCAAGCACTGATGCCACGTTTTGGTTTGGCCGCCCCTAACTTTCTTCCAACCATCCCCAACACTAGTCAGCATTGCCCGTCGTGGTAGTCGGTATTCAGGCATACGTAACACGTGGCCCAACCATCTCAGTCGGTGAAGATTTACAACCTCATCAAATGATTTACCACCATTCCCTAATACCCTGCGTCTAACCTCACTATTACTTACCCGGTGATCCCAGCAGATGCCAGCAATATTTCTAAGGCATCTGTGGTCAAATACTAGTAGCTTACGAGTGTCTTCTACTCTTAATGGCCATGTTTCGCTGCCGTAAAGTAAAACAGAACGGACTGCCGCGCAGTATACTCGTCCTTTTATTGATAGACGGATATCTCGCCTTCGCCATAGGTGACGTAAGTTGGCAAAAGCCAAGCGAGCTTTCGGAATCCGTGCAGAGAATTCGTCAGACACTAACCCATTAGGGCTGATCAGACTTCCAAGATAAGTGAAGTTGTCAACGCGTTCGACTACTTCACTCCCTATCCTTAGTTCAGGTGTTGACGCAGACCAGTCCTGAAGCAACAACTTGCATTTAGAGGGAGAGAAGCGCATTCCAAACATTCTGGCATTGTTGCTTAGTGCTAACAAAAGACTCTGCATTTTATCAGCGTCTTCACCAAACAGGACTATGTCATCTGCGTATTCTAAGTCGATAAGTGGACCTCCTGGTAGGAGATCAATACCCGAGAACTCAGTCGACGAGAAAGTTATTTCCATCAGTAGATCTATGATGAAGTTAAACAAAAATGGGGAAAGTGGACAGCCTTGACGGACACCACTTGAGGTTGCAAAAGTAGATGACAGTTCGCCATAAGCCCTGACTCGACTAGTAGTGTTCGAGTAAAGAGCCTTTACAAGGTTTATGTACTTCTGGGGTACGCCTTTCAATGACAGACACTGCCACAGAATCTCGCGGTCTACCGAGTCAAATGCTGCTTTTAAGTCGAGAAAGACCACCATTGTCGGACGCCGATAAGTATGCCTGTGTTCTAGAATCTGACGAATGGTGAATATGTGGTCGATGCAGCCACGACCAGGTCTGAAGCCAGCTTGATTCTCTCGTGTTTGCAGTTCACGAGTCTTAGTTAGGCGTCTGATAATTATCGAAGCTAGTATTTTAGATATTACATTAGTTAAACTAATCCCTCTGTGGTTGTCACAGGATGATTTTAACCCTTTCTTATATATTGGGACGATAAGTGATTGTGACCAGTTAGATGGGATAACGTCTAACTCCCAGATCTTAGCTAAAATATTAGTCAACCTAATCGCTAAAATTGGACCACCATCCTTAAAGACCTTTGGAGCCAGTCCATATAGACCAGCTACTCTTCCTCGCTTCAGATTAACTATAGCCTTTTGAACTTCTGCTAGAGTTGGGGGACCTACTTCAATGTTCCATTCACACTCTCTGGGAATGGAGGGTAGTTGTAGAGTAGCTGAAGGCCAGTTGAACTGTTCTCTGAAATGTTCCGCCCATCGTTCTAAACGTCTGGGCTGGGAGCAGATGAGAGTATTGTCTTTTTCCGAAATAATCTCACTTACATTTGACTTATTAATTCCAGTTTCTTTTATTAGTCTGTAAAGCTGTCTTGTGTTCCCTATAGTCGTTAATAGATGTCACTGCTGTTTCCACAGCTTCTTGTATGTCTTTCCAAGCAGCATCTGGGTCAGCCTCGTCTTCAGAACTACCTAAGTGTGAACTCAGTTGTTCTTGGAACCTATTTTTGTTTTTCTCGTTACTCAACTCAGTTCTAATGGGTCTTTTTAATGTGGCTTTTTTGCGTCCAGTGAGGCGCAAGCAAATGCGTGCCCGTATTAGGGCGTGGTCGGAGTCCAAGCAGGTACTCCAGAATGAGCGACAATCTTCTACCGACCCTCTCCAACGATGACTGATGGCAATATGGTCTATTTGAGTCCATCGTTGGTTTGGTGTAGGGGGTCGCCATGTTAGACGATGTCTCTCCTTATGCTTAAAATTTGTGTTTGCTAAAAATAAACGATTGTCTGAGCACAGTTGCAGCAGACGGTCACCATTATCTGTTCGCTGTGCCGGAATGCTAAAATATCCACCTAAATGCCTTTCTGTTTGGTTTAAGCTACCTATCTGAGCATTAAAGTCCCCCTATGAGTACTATGTCTGAGCGTTTAGCTTTCTGAAGAAGTTCGGACAGCTTTCTGTAAAATTCATCTTTCATTTCATCTGAGCTGCAGTCAGTGGGAGCGTAGGCAGAAACGACGAAAAGGCAACGACGTGTGTCCCTATCCTTCCGAGTTCTTACGGAGCCGTTTAGCCGAACAGCACATAGACGACTGTTGACGGGGATCCACTCTAGCAGTGCTTGTTCTGCCCTCATGCTTAGTGCTATGCCTACACCTGCCAGTCCACGAGAACTGGCCATCGGGTCACCAGATACACGGAGGGTGTATCTCGTTGGCTCTCCGTTTTGCCGAGGTGAGGTCAAGTGAATGACCACACTGGAATCCTGTATGCGTGTTTCGGAGACACAGCATACATCAATGGAAAGAGACTCTAGGGTTTTAGCCAAGGAAGCCTGCTGACCGATTTGACATAGGGTGCGTACGTTGAAGGCTCCAATGTGTAGTTTGGAGCGAGGTTTCAGTAGACCTGGGACAGAGTTTTGAGCACTAGAATCGTTGGCTATGGTGACACTTGAGGAGGAAGCCGAAAGAGGAAGTTTAGAGTTGAAAGTCGATGTAGGAGGAATAATAGGAATTGAAGAGGAAGGTTGATTATGAATACAGTGGTCTCGAGTGCTGTTAGAGGTATGAGGGCGGTTATCACTTCCCGGTTGCCCACACCGAGGAAGGGTTGTTCTGGAGGTACCTGAAAAGGAAATTGGATTAGAGGTGGTCTCAGTGACCTGAGAGCGTGACCGCAGTGCCCAAGGGACAACTGCTTGAGGCCGGTCGCGCACGGCCTTTTTGTGGAAGGTTTTTGATGTGTTAGCTCCGTTCTTCAAAGGGCCTTACCGCCGGAGACGGAAATCCGTGAGGTAAGGTGAGGTGTGCATTTTTAGGGTCGACCTTTTCTAACCCCACCCCTCCTTGTGGGAAGGCAGCATCGCTGTCATGCTGGTTGTCTGAAGGAAACACCTTACTGCTGTCACACCTCTACGTAGTCAGCAGTACGACTTCGCCTTCGGACCTTGGGTTTGTTGCTTTTAGTCTTACCGCTCTTCAACCGACCTGTCTGACATGGTAGGACCTTGAGGAACGGTTGTTCCAGCCAGTATAGCTCGGTTGCTTCATCACGATAGGCAAGCCCGACCACCACGTCAAGGTAGCAACAACGGTCGGGACGTGTTTGTGAATAGGTATTTGAAGATTTCCCAAGTGTTGTTTTGTCTGATACTTACCACCCACTTCATAAATATCTTTCTTGCATTTCCTCTGGCATGACGAGATGCTGTTTTATTAGAACCCATCCACTCAAGAAAAATTTGCAAACCCTACAATATCGTATTAAACGCAAATACTATGCAACAAACAGGTTGTAAAAGCTAGGCTAACCAAACGCTTAGAATCAAGCCTTCTGCTTATTCACTGTTTCATAAGCTCTTTTAAACAGTTCATTGGATTATATATATGTTTATTTACTCATTTTACGCATATATATATATATATATATATATATATATATATATATATATAGGAAGTTCAAAACAAAATTATTGAGATATTGTATGCTCACAATTCCATATCTGTACTACACAGATAATATTGAATAAAGCTATTATTATTATTATGCACTAATATAGAGGTTTTTCCCAGCAACTAGATAACAACTATCAATGTAATAGTAAGTGTAGTTTTGTAACATCTCAACGTGTAGGAAAGTGTATTTCTGACGCTTAATGTAAGTCACTTCTTCAGAGTAAATAAATAAATGTCAATTTATTTTTGTGATAAGCCTCTCGTTTGTGACTACATTGACCTCTTACCTATTGTTGTTCAGCTCAATGTTTACTAAAGTTTTATCTGCAAAACTCCATATTTTAGGGAGAGTTTACTTTTTATGGTTGTTTGGCAGCTTGTGCGTCTCAATAGTACAAAAATGTGTTAACTATCAATGACCGATCTATGAGTGGTCCGAACAGTGAACAAGGTGTCAGTACATCGTTTCAAAGTTATCATCAATTACGTTTTCAGCTCTTTGCACCGAAAACCTGTGAATATATTTAGGACTCCACTGTAGTATTTTATATTAATATTTTACCTAGACTACAAATCAGAAAATTGTAGACTTGTTATTCTGTATGGTTCGTAATATTTAGACACTACATGTATTACATATCCTTGTATGACATCGTACCAATCTTTTGTTTGATGTAAAGACGGATAAACTACTGATAAATAATTACCGCCAACCTTTTCATGGCCTGTCTTACTGTCTATCTTTAGTTAGATACAAAACCCGTTTTACAGTTATATGTAGTCTAAGTTTAATATTTAAAAGCATTACTAATCTCTAGTATTTTCTTCATTTTGCTGTATGTCTATTGGACCTCCCTCTTAATTTTTCAAATAATTGTGTAAGTACAGAAACCATTTTATCTGCTTAGCTATAGGTAAACTAGATGTTCATATAAACGGCAATTGTTGTGACCGATGCAATTCCACCATTCTGAGGTGATACATGGATCGTTAGTGACACTTCATGATCGTCACGTTTTATTACGAACTGATTTGAATTTAAAATGTTAACCGTTAAATTTTTGTTCAATGAGACCTTAACCACTCAGATCTGAATATCTAGAGTTCTACCTCCAGCTGAGTTATAGGTGTGCACTACTAAAACTAAGACAGAACGGCTACTTAGTGCATTCTGGTTCTCAGTAGTTTTTCAGTGTTAGTTAATTCGTAAAAAATCTATCTCAAAATTGAACCGATCTCCACGACCATAAAACTAAGTAAATTAACTAAACTTTGAATAATAAGCCTTCGAAAAATAAAGTTCCATTTTTCCCCACTAAAACATCTCATTTATCAAATTCTTCTAAATATTTTTATCTTTCAGTTTAATAATTATGACAATTCAGTTTATCGACTGGATTTCATTACTTGGAACTGGACGCGTATAGAAATTCGTGATGATTTGTTATCGTTTTCAGATCTTTCCCTTAGCATTCCATTCGATACAAATAGGAGTCGACAATTCGGTATAGACTCGCACGAATATTTAGATTGCATTTGGAATGATAACATATCACATGATCAAACATCCCATTCTAGAACTCCTTTACCTCGTGATTTCGCATGTCTTACTAGTCACCAAGGTCGTATATTTCTGTTTGGTGGACGAAGTAAATCACCTAATCACCCATCATGTGATGTCTATGATTCTGCTCTATGGGAGCTCATTCCTCTTGTCAGTGTATCAGATTACTCCTCCTCTGATACGGCGAACATTTCGGAAGGACAGAAGCTAACTCTGGCAAAATGTAATTTTTGTGGTGTAGAAATGATCGATTATTTGGGTACTACCTCCGGCGGGTTACTTCGCATCCTGTGGGAAGAAGAAACAGGAAACTGGTGTGGGTATGTGTCGATCAATTTAAACTATATATAAATTATTTTTATATATATATATATATAAGCCTAGTTAGCTCACTGTTTCAATGATAAGATCTGTGGTCTCCAAACGTAATTTCAAATGTCTACCACAAGCAGTTTTATAGAATTAGGTTGCCTCTCTTTAATATTGTCTAAACGGGGCAATTGTGTTATTATGGTGGAGCGTAATCGTAATGTAGATTTTGACTGCATCTGGAAATATAAACTTTGAACCATGTCATCTGAAGTCTAACCATTGGTTACGATAATCATCCGACCCCAACCAAGTAGTTTGCACTCACCTACTTGGCTCAGTCTAACAGTCAATGTCTTTATGAACCCATGCTTTTTCTTGGCTTGGGCTACCCTATTTGTTCTTTCAGCTTACTATATTAGCCATCACTGCTCGTCAAAATGAGCACTGGTTAAGTATACGTAATATATGTGTTTCAACCACTTCAGTCGATGAAGATCCGCTATCCCATCAATCCATTTGCCATAATTACCTAATAATCCACGTTCAACATTAGAATTGCTAACTCGATGGTCCCAATATATACAAGCAGTACTTCAAAAATACCAATGATTGAATACTAGTAACCTAAAAATATCCTCTATTTTTAAAGGCCACTTTTCACAGTTAGAAAACGGAACGGAGCAAACCGTTGCGTTGTACACACGTCCTTTAGTCAGGAGACAAATTTGTCGCCGCTTTCTGGATTCGTGCCGAGATTTCGTTGGATATCAACCCACTAGGGCTAGTGTGATTCCAAAAATAAATAACTTAATTGACACACTCAACTACATCATTTCCTACCATTCGTTCAGACACTGATCCAGACCGGTCCCGAAGCAAGAATTTTCAGTTTTAGAGAGAGAAATACATCTCAAATATGCTTGCATTATTTCTTAAAGCGGCCAGAAGACTATGCATTTTTTAGCATCTTTGCCATAAAGTTCTATATAATCTGTGTATCCCAGGTCAACAAGAGGATCTTGTTATGTATTTATGCTTACATGATCATCGCGAAATACGATTTCCAACTTGGAAACGCTGACTTATACGATCAAACTAATTATGCATGCACCAGTACGGGCAGCCTAGAGTCCTGATTAGTCGTTTTTCCGACTAGCCCTATCTGTTAAGTCCAGAACGCCAATCTCAGCCTCCGCGGTACAAATCATGCATTTCAAACGTTCTTGGTTTATATATAAGCAAAATCAGACCATATCACACCGTAAAATAGAAACTAACACTTGTACAAGATCGAGCCAAAAGTGGCTGTGATCATGAGAAGCTGTAACTAGTAGGTTGTGAATAACTTAAGAATAGTAAATCATATAACAGTAACCAATAGGTCAAATAAAAGCTTATAATAGAAGGAATATAAATATATAGAATTTAGTTTCTTAAGTTAGACAATAAGAATATATGTATTATATTAGTCCATAAATAGTTCTCAGAAGTTACCCATAATTTAATCTTCACTAGGATCTAATAGATCGATTCCTAATAAGCCAGATGATGAGTGTTGCCTCCAAAAGAATGTCCATGACAAAGTCAAATTTTATACTATATTTTATTTGAAACACAAATATTGGTACAAAGGGGCACCGAATATATACGCCACACAAGTTACTTGATTAATGTATGGACTGTGATACAGCCCGGGTCCCCGAACCGGAGCAGGTGGTTTTTTAGGAGTAACCTTGACGAATATGGCTTGAAATTATTAGCTCCGATGACAAGTCACCGTACGCTGTGATTTGACCATTAGTGTTCGAATAGAAAGCATGTACAACGCTAATGTGCTTCTTTGTACGCTTTAAAATGACAGACACCACAAAACCTGTCGATCTATGGAGTCGAACTCTGCCTTAGAGTCAATAAATTCAACTATGGTTTAGAGTCAGTGGGTATTTCTTTGTTCCAGAACCTGGCGAAGGGTGATAATTCGGTCTATACATCCACGTCCAGTTCTGAAACCAGACTGATTTTTCCGAGTTTGCTCTTCACGAACCCTAGTTAAACACTGGACAATTATTGAGGCCAATATTTTAGACACTGTTAGTCAAATCTATTTCTCTGTAGTTACTAAAAAAGGATTTTTTCCTTTCTCATAGGCTAAAACGATCACCGATCGAGACTAGTCAGATAGGATTTACTCCAGTTCCCGGACTTTAGTTAAAGTCTCAGGTATTTTAACAGCCAAAACTCGACCACAATACTTAAAGATCTGTAGGGTTAATCAATCAGGACCTGTTTCTCTCCTCTTGCTTTACATGGGCTATGGCTTTTTCTACAACTCTAAGAATCGAGGGATTCATGTTGACATTGCTTGGTAAAAGTGAGCAACAAAATGGTGGTTAGAGAACAGTTAAACTATTTTTCAAAATGTTCATCCCATCGTTCCAGTTTTTTGGGTTGAGAGTGAATCATTGTCTCATCTTTTTAAGAAATATTCTGTCTAACATTAATTGTCGTTGACTTGGTAATCTAACTTTCCGCTCACCTGCTTTTTTCTTTTATACTTGTTCAACAGTGGTTTCAAAGTAACTTGTCATTCTATTTTGTTATTATCAGTAAAATCTGATGGTTATATCCTTAAAACGTTTCTCTGTTCTCCACAGGCAAGACATCTTTTTTTCATTAGTTAGTTACTCATTTGCTCCACGTTCGAGAATATTAAAACTCAATAGCTACTTGCTTAGTTCATTGCCTTTTGGTTGTCATTAATTCCCGTATGCAAGATTTTTCTTTAAGATTCGCTTTATCGAAGAATAGAATAACGATTTGTTTGCTTATTGTTAAGTATATCGAAGTTAGAAATGATTCATTTGGATATTAGCAATTTAGATACTGGAGTTTTTTTAGTATGCTTATTTTAAACAAAGTAAGTAATCCCAACGACCATTAGGATGTATGTAGATTTATCCCGCTAACATGTTCAAAAGTAGTACTTGCTCCAAATGTCATTATGAATCTTATCTATGTTTTTAGTTAATGGAACGGGTATAGCTTTTGAAATGAAAGTCGCAAAACTGGAATGTCCGTCTCTTTAAACTGATGAATTCAGCTTTATTGTGATCCACTGGTAGCATTACGTTTGTCCCTCGTAAAGTTATTGCTCCAGGACTGTCCTGCGTCAACACCTGAACTAAGGATAGGGAGTGAAGTAGTCGAACGCGTCGACAACTTCACTTATCTTAGAAGTCTGATTAGCCCTAATGGGTTAGTGTCTGACGAATTCTCTGCACAGATTCCGAAAGCTCGCTTGGCTTTTGCCAACTTACCTCACCTATGGCGAAGGCGAGATATCCGTCTATCAATTAAGGGATGAGTATACTTCGTGGCAGTCCGTTCTGTTTTACTTTACGGCAGCGAAACATGGCCATTAAGAGTAGAAGACATTCGTAAGCTACTAGTATTTGACCACAGATGCCTTAGAAATATTGCTGGCATCTGCTGGGATCACCGGGTAAGTAATAGTGAGGTTAGACGCAGGGTATTAGGGAATGGTGGTAAATCATTTGATGAGGTTGTAAATCTTCACCGACTGAGATGGTTGGGCCACGTGTTACGTATGCCTGAATACCGACTACCACGACGGGCAATGCTGACTAGTGTTGGGGATGGTTGGAAGAAAGTTAGGGGCGGCCAAACCAAAACGTGGCATCAGTGCTTGAAGACACTAACTTCTAGTCTGAGCCATGTTGGTAGATGCAGACTACTTGGTTGTGTTCCGCGTGACTATCGTAATCAATGGTTGGAGACTCTTGGTGACATGGCTCAGAATCGATCACAATGGCGTCAGTGTATACACTCTTTGTCTTCCCTTAAACTAAGAGATTAAAATCACTTCATATCTTTCTTTTTACGAACCAATTCTTTCTTCTTGTACTATATTTCTATATGCAATCTTTCTCTTATATATTACCACCTTTCACCTAACTACTGCTATGAATCCGGTGTTCATCTTGTTGTGTTAATGAGGTATGGCAACTTGGACCGATGCATATATGTGTCCTACTTCGTAGCTGGCTGACTAACTCCGCTTAAAGTACGAGTGATAATTTCTGTTTATTTTCGTTACAATTCCTTCCACTTTTCTTATTGTCATATTTTAAGTCTTGAATTTGTATGTATGACTGGTTTTCATTGATCAAATGCATCTGCTTTTATTTTTTCAGTGTCAGAGAACCATGCGTTTGGTATTGTGTTTTCTGATGCGATTTGCCGGAAATTTTGACCTTGATGTTTTTGCGTGTTATTATTCGTCACAAGTGTTTATTGCATTTTAAGGATGATTGGTGTGGCAAGTGGACGAAAATTAGATACAGAGCCCCTCGAACAACAACCAATTATCTAATATTACAGCCACATTAACTCACAGGCAATGTAGTGGTCTCATATTCAGAAACTTCCCCACGTACTTCAGTTTGGGGAATCAGATAGTTTTATTAAAAACCGAGTGATCGAAATCGCATTGGTAAATGAGTTACATTAAACATTTGTGGAAAATTCTTTGACTGGGCTGTAGGCGACATGATTTTGGATTTTTAGAAGGATTTGAGTCTCCTTGGAGTTATAACTATCTCCTATTCTTCAATACGAAGAACGATGGGAATATGCTTAGGGTTTACTTTTTGGTCGTCATAAGCTGTGAAATATTATTTACCGTACGATACAGTATCTGATCACGTATTTCGGTGATCACTTCTCAGAAATACTGTATCGATAGGATTTAATGAGCACCAAAAGCCATACAAAACTAGCTTGTTCGTTGACCCGTAACTAGTTGGTGTTTCTTTAGAATATAGAGCAAATTTTTGTCCATATAACTGGATTTCGTAGTAACTTATCTCATTTACTTTTTGTCCACTTCTTTTTTATAGACCTGAATTCTGGGCAACTTCTCCCTCTCGTCCATGTTGTTTGTGGAAATTTATTCATAGTAATGTAGAAAACAAATCATATACACCAAAATATGATAAACTAACATCAAACTATCATTCCCGTTGGTCAAGTGGTTATGCAGTTTGGATAATTCGTCATCCAGGTCATGGTTTACAATCAGCAGAAGTTCTGCTTTCACAAATGTTCAATAAAGTTAATGGATTCACATATGATCCAAAGTCATCATTTGTGGAATCGTCGTCATCATCAACATCATCAAAGTTAAATTCACCTTACGGACGTAGGAGTCTTTCACATTGTAAATTCATCTAGTTTTTCTCACTACACTGAAAGTTTTCCTTTGTACAAATCTTTGCGGTATTATAAGGTTATACAAGGTTTTTTGTTGAAATGCTATTTTACCACCTAGAAATGAGCTCGTTTACTTCAATTGAATGAGTAAATTGTGTTTGGGATGGATGAAGCATCTTATTTAAGAAGAAATAATAATCATTGATCAGTTTGTAAATCTGTTGTGATGTAGATAATGTGTTTATCCACATTCTGTCTCGATATGTAACATTTTGGAATAGATGGATTGGACATTGAATATGAAGTATATCTATCGAGTATTTAGCTATTTCCCAGGACATTTTTAATAAATGAATGATTTCTAGCTGTAATCTGTTAAATGTAAGAAAACCAGTTATAAAGATTTCAGCCTGTCATGCACAACGTAGAACATGTCACATATGTTTATCAATTAAAATTATCGCAGCGCAGTAAAGGAGGATATCAGAGTAGTAATAGTGCAATTGGTAATAGAAAAAAACTCAAGAAAATATGTGTTTGCGTCATAAAACATTTCTAAAAAACTTTAAAATCTAAGGAAACAATCAGTAAGTGGAACCGCTTCATTGCTAACAATTCTGAACTACTTCACTCCATTTCTTACCATTGATTACAATAGTCACACGGACACAAACTAGTTAATCTGAAACTACCCACACAGTTCAATTCAATAGTCAATGAATTCATGAACTGGTCCCATATTCTGGTTTGGCCGACCATAGTTTTCTATCAGCCTACTATACTAGCCATCACTGTGCATCGAGGTAGGTGCTTGTTGAGCATACGTGATACATGTCCTAATCTTCTCAGTCGATAAAGACTCACTACCTTACCAATCGACTTTCCATACGGTCCTAGTATCCTACGTTTAAGTTTCAACACTCCTCACTCACTAGTCCTAACATACACGAATAATGCTTCAGAGGCGTCTATAATTAAGCTCTATTAACCTGCAGCTTTTCAGCGGGGTGTTGCATACTTATGCTTATATTTCGTAGACAGTCCGACCTGATTACAATTATTACGATGATTACTCACGGTATATAATATTTTCAAAGTTGGAACGAAGTTGTCAAAATGATTTATTTCAAACAGGTGACTCAAACTACATGACCAATGAGTAGCTAAGTAAGAAATGAATAAGTGAAAATAATTTAGCAAGCAAATATGTGTCTATATGTCTTTGTTTACTTTATTATTTATTTCAACACATAAACATCGGTACAAGGAGGCACAAAGTATATATGCGCCACACTTCGTCACTCGATTTGTGTGAGGGCTGAAATACTGCCACTGGCGCCCAAACCGAAGCTGACAATGTATGTATATGTGTTTGAGTAATTGTCGGTCCGTTAGATATATTGTGAACAAGAACACAGGTGGGGGCAATAACTATATTTTAATACAAAGTTATAGAATATGTTGGTTAAGTGCAAGAACCGTACACTGAATAGTTCATTTTCAAATTTACACCATTTTTCCTTCACATTGTATGATTCTTCCAGTTCACAATTCCTTTCTATTCTCTTCAACTTGATCTTCTTAGCCTTTTGCCGCCAGCCATTCAACTTTTGATTGGTATTACATACTACTTATGTCGACATATATATGTATATATATACTCTCATGTCTTAGAAAAATTCAAACTTTAAGATTTACAGAAAACATAAGTTGTTTTATGTGTTCTTTGCTGCGATACTTAATCACAAATATTACAATTAACTAAACACTGGAATTATTAATTATGCATGTTCAAAGCATTCGATTTTTGTTATGTCCTTATGCTCGATTAATTATATTACGTGATACGACCGTCAGTTAGAGACACCGACTTATATGACCAGACTAATGATGCACAAACCTGCCAGAGCAGACTAGTAATATATTTCAAGCATAATGTGCTTATATACAAACAAACCAGACGGCATCATACCACAAGTAGAATATAACAATTATACAAGATCAAACTAAAAAGTGTCTTTAAATGTAAGAGTCTGTTACTAATAAGTTGGGAATATCTTAAGAATAATAAACAGTATCATAATAGTCAATAGGTCAAATAAATGCTTATAATAAAATGAATATAAATATACGTATAATATAGCTACTTAATAGTTACAACAGGAATATATTTATAGTATTACTTACTTACGCCCGTTACTCTCAATGGAGCATAGGCCGCCTGAAGTCCCTCCGGGGGCTACTGCCGGTCCCAAGCCCGGATAAAGGAGGAGGGTTGGGCATGGGGTTAGCGTCCTCATCCCGTAGAAAACTAACTCGCTAAAAACGCTAACCATAAAAAATTATTCAAACCTTTTAAACTCTGCCCCGGGAGTCAGAAGGTCTTCATTTAGAAGAACTATGACGCCTCATGATGAAAGCCGAATTCCTTCGGAAGTTACGAGGCCGATGCCCCATCTGACAACCAGAGCGACCATTTATTTAGGTACATGGAATGTTCGTACAATGTGGGACACCGGGAGAGCCTTCCAAATTTATAGTGTTAGTCCATAACTAATTCAATCATTCTGACTTCTCTCCTTTTATCAATTCTGGAATAATAATGTAAGTGTTTGTACGATTTTGATTGGAACTGTACCGATTCTTCATACTTTGACTCGACGATATAACTCGATTGTCTAGTTTCTGTAGACATACTAATTATCATTTCAATTGTCCAACCTTTATCTAACCTTATATCAACACACGTGTGTACCTTATTGTGTAATCATCTAAAATATACTTGGTCCTGTTATTTGTTTTAGTTTTCTTACAGCATGACTTTCAAAGTATTTTGGTCTGTATACATTTAATGTTCTATCTTCACTTTTGCATTACATGTCATACATTTAGTAACAAATTTCCAAAAAATTATTTTGTTAAATTTTAATAAAATATTTAGGGTCCTACAATGGTAATTTATATATTGCCTTTGGTGCTATTCGATCACAGACAGGTCGGAGTCTCCAGGTACACTATCAAGATGTTTGGCGCTTCAATTTGTCTACCTTGTCTTGGATACAACTTTCCTATATGCCTAGTATGAAATCATCAAATCTGCACATCCATATACCTTCTGCCCGTAGACGTGCTGTAGCGTGTCTATATATGGCTCCACCTAGTACTCATCGCGATTATAATCCCACGTTAATCAAACAACAACCTCGGGTATTTGTATTTGGTGGAACACAACCAAGAGCACTTAATGAGAAAATATCTCTTGTCAACAATAATGGCCATAACGATTCACGATCTACCAACGAGTATTCAACATCCTTTGGAATGCTTCCTCACAGAAGTTTATTCAGTCTGAATTGGGGTTTGTGCATTTTACTACTGATTTTTCCTAATCTTTTTCATAAAACAATTTGAGATGTTTTTATTCATGGTATTTATTTGCTACTGGAGTAGAAAAAACATAACAAACTTCACGAAGTACATTAAGTGTGTCTGTATTATTATAATAACGTAACAAGGTTGGATTGAGATCACCGTCCCATGCTGGATACCAGATACCGACTGGACACGATACTTGATCACGTTATACTCAAATAAGTTGTTTGACCAAAGATAAGGTATAGGCCAAAAAGCACCGCATAAAGCATTCAATAAGTGTAGTTGCTTTTACGCATAAGACAGTCGCATGTATTTATTGTAGCCAGATATGTTTTTCCTCGCTTATTAATCAACCATGTCCTACTTTCACCTGATCTATTAATTACACCTTCCAATGTCATAAAAATCTTAATTTTAGATTGGTTTTTGGATGCCGACCCAGTAGTTTGCAGTTTAGGTGCTCATGACGAGACCTGAAAATCATGAATTTGATCACCAGTGTAGTCGTGAATACTCGCTACTGAGGAGTCCCATATTAAAATGAGACAGCTGTACAATGCTTCTCGGTTTCCAATGGTTGCCTAATTGAGATCAATCTATTATGTAAACTCTGGAAATTCATCAGTCCCACCGAACCCCTCATGTTGACGAAGACTTCGCCATAAAAATTAGAATTTTTTGTTCGCGCATGTATTCAGTTGAATTAATGGTTTTGTTCTCTAAAATCTATTTTGTGATTGTATCTCATTTTCCTCAACAAATTACCAATTTACTCAACTGTTTAAATCATGTAGTAATTTGGCCAGTTTTCATGTCAACATACTATGAATCACTTTTCATATAATGCCATACATCCTTCTTTTTATTAAAAAATAATCTCTCTATAGATATAATCATAATTTAGTTCTGTCAAATTTTAATGATTTTTTTGTTTTATATTCCTCCTTTTGCCTTTTAAAAAAAGGTAATAATCGAACCCAGAATGAAGTACTTGGCTTGAGAAGAACCAGTTCCTCATTGAAATCATTTGTTTCAATTTTATGCGTCCAATCGACTTCTTCGATTCCTGATCCTGATCATGGTAATGTCATATCTTCAAATTCTACCACAAATTCATCTCTATCTACTTCTGCAACACCGTCGTCGTCCTCTTCATCACCATCAAATACGCCAGTGACAACTTTCTATCTTATTATTATCATTCCATCCTATTTATGCAATTCTCAATTATTAAATGGTTTGATTCCGTTGCTAATTAATGATTTTATCCTGTTGTCTAACTTATTTGTTATAAGCTTTGATGAATTGTCTCAATTATTTAATCTAACAACTAACACATCTGATAATAATAACAATAATAATAGTGATGCGCCATTTATTAAATATCTCCAATCTATACATTCTCATCAATTCAATCACATGAATCCACATAGTACTAGCAACAACACCAGTAATAATAACAATAATGTTACTATTGATGAAACGATCCATCTATTTCATTTAGCCTGGTTAACTTTAACAAATATGTTCTCCGCTCATAAAACAACGAGTCGCAGTGATATTAGTAATGATACCAGTTGTGAAAGGAATTCTACACCTTGTTCGTTATCGAAATTTCATATTATTTTTGTTGCAAACTGTCCAGTGTCACCTAGTTGTCTTTTGTTTAAGTACGTTCATTAGTTTTTATTTGTGCGAATTTGTCGGTTAATTAGTTTATTTTCATCATTGGGAAGTGATGAGCTATGCCTAAAAAGCGGACATCTGGCGCCTAAACCAGGTCGGTGGTTACAGCGGGTTAATCTAGTAGAGTTAAAAAACCTCAATTGCGAAACATTGGTGTACATGGGCTTCACGATCCTGAAGGAACGAATGGTATACGGACCTACTTTTGGTAACTGGCTAACATGTGACGCCAGCTCTTGATGGTGCCACAATCCCTAGTGATCTAGTTCTTTAGGTGAAAGACTCAGAAAGATACCTTCTTTGTTTAAGACTCCCGATCAATGTACTAGCCTGAACACAAATTTTATTTGTGTATACTGTTTTTCGTACTTAGTTGTACCAGATTTTATATAGATTAAATAAAATCCTAAAATGGTGAAGTTTGCTGTTGATGGTTCACTGTGGCAATGTATATAATTGGGTAAAATATTGAGGTTTCAGGAATTTACATTTTTTTACCATCAAAATAGTGGTCATAACACAAAATACCCAATAAAATTATTGGTCAGTAATGTTATAAGGGCTTCATTGACAGGTACAATTACTGAAATATTAGTTGATTCGTATTCCCGATCCCCCGAATCCCAACTTTACAGATTTCAGGTGAAAGGGCCACTGGTTAAATAATTTATATATACTAGAGAACAAAAACTGTTATTAATGTTCTTAAATATTTAGAAAATAGTAGCTGTGTAGTCTAATGGTGAAGCTTTCCTTGTCTTTCTAGACAATATTGTTAACGCAAGCTTCAGATAAAACGGAATTATTCTAACTTTTCCACATATAAGTAACAGCTTCTCTGGTCGACATTGATTTCAATTAGGTAAGAGTCAATAATAGTCAGTTAAGATCAATATCGACCAATCAAGCCTTTAATTGCACAAGGGGAAATTTGAATAATTCGGTTCTATCTGAAGCTGGCGCTAACATTATTGTTAAACCTTCCAACTCAATAAACACAACTGCTCCAGAATGATTTTCGGGAGTATTTTCTACTTGTGTTATTATTATTATTATGTACTTTTTGTGTTTTAGCTCCGAAGCAAATCAAAACTACAAACCTTTAATATTAAAACAATACACATTTTCTCAAAATTCACATGAAATAATTAATTTAGAAAAACCATGTTGTATTAATCATGCATCTGATATATACACATCATCACAGCTAATTAATATCTGTCTCAATTCAGTGATTTATGGATTGTTCGAAGCGGTAGAACGTGGATTAAAATATACATATTCCAAGTGTCCTACTACAACAACTAATTCATTGTCATCAACAGTGTGCAATTCTACTATGTTTCTTAGTGATGATGATGACGATGATAATGATAGTCAACATCATCATAATTTCTTAACTTATAAAACATTTTTTATATACTCTGATATTGATATGGAAGAATTGGAAAATTATGCAACTCATGTTTATATTGATGTAAATCAGATAACATCTTATGTTAAAACTAGTACCTTAGATGTCATTTATAATGACATTAATAATAATAATAATAATAATAATAATAATAATAATAATAATAATAATAATAATAATAATAATAATAATAGTTCATTCTTCTCATCATCATCATCCACTTCAAAATCGACTTACAACTCCAATATTCTATCTTATCCAAATAAAAACTCTGTACAACAGACTGTGGCATCCGTTTTATTGAAATATTTACATTTTATTCAAACTTCATTTCATTTAATATTTGACGATAATAAATTGTTATTAAATCAACAAGAAATTTTACAACCTTCATACACAGATCCTGTTCATTTATACAGTGACAACAATAGTAATACATTTTCGACGCCTCCTGTACATTTCACAATAAGAGGTAAGTATTTGTGGACGGTAAGTGTTTATGGTGAGTATGAATTCTTTTAGTCAGTTATAATCAACGTATAGCCTAGTACACATGTGCATTGTCTCAAGTCAACATATCACATAAACACGAGATGAATAGTAATGGAGTCAAAATAAATCCAGCAGTAATTTTAGGGAGAAGACTGAACATTGAGGAAATGGTTCATGATGACAGAATCGAAAAGTATGTCTAATGAAATATTGATATTCAAGATCTAGAGTAAGGAAAATAGTAAATAGATCTAGGCATCTATGGTCGATTCTGAACCATTTCACCCTTTGTCTTTAATCGATTAAACCAAAATCTAGCATTAGTTCATAAAGTTATTGACCACTGAACTGAAAATATACGTAAGTGCAGACAACGTGGCTGGAGTTCGAGCGGTTATTGTAATCTATGGTTGGAGACAGGATAACATAAATAAAAACCAGTCACAATGATGCAGCTCTGTTCATTATTTGCATTCTCTTAGACCGTTAGTCTTAAGATTATCTGGTAATGTTTCTGTTCCTCGAGCTCATTCTTATCAAATCATATTTCCTATGTCTAGCGTATTTTTATCAGCACTGATATTCTGATTAATACTACAGTTGTATTCATCTTGCTATGGTGATATAAAGTGTGGCACATAATTGGAATTTTTCAATATTTCTGCTCATAACTGATTAACTTCACTCGCACACGATATCAGTGATGAATTGTTTTTAGGCCAACAACTCTCACCACTCTATCTTCCTTCACATTCATTGTTTGAATCCTTACCATGTCAAAAATGACTTTAATTTTATTGTGTTTATAAAAATTAAATAACTTTTTCCAAAAAAAAATTTGTTCTCAATCCACAGATTCGTCTACTGTAAATTCAACTAGTGATATTTCCGGTAGATATTTAGAGTCATCTACATCAAATAATAATAATTCGCACGTCGTATCAGGATCTTCACATTATTTTCTCAGTGAAAGACTAGCGTTAGAAATACTCAACAATGAGAATATTTTCAATTTTACAGGAATTGGCATGTACAGTGGTGGTAGTAGTAACGAGAATTTTTTTACTTTAAATCCTCCATCTGCAACCATTGAAGATGAAATTAATGATGATGATGTTGATCACGATGGTGATGATTCTGTGGATTCTGATTTTTCGGAAATTAATTGTATACCTAATATAGGAGTTTTGTCGAAGGGTACAGAAAGTGAGAAATTAGTTTTATTTGTATATTGTATCTAATATTTTTTAATAAATGGTTTGATTTCAGGATTCCAAAACATTCACTATTATAAGACATTGATGAATAGTTGAATCCGATAAGTAATATGTTTCTAGATATTTATGATTATCATACTCATATGTGAATTTCCAAACGTAGCATTTGGGAACATAAACATTTAGTGTACTTTACAACAGGTAGATTTTGGCCAGCACGGGAATCCAGGATTCTTGCTCTATCCTATTCGAGACTCATAGGTTGAATGTACATGTACGTCAGCGCTGATATTCACACCGGGATTCAAACGTCCTATGCGTTATCCACTGAGCTAGTGAGTCCAGATGATCACTAACTTATTCAACGGCCTTGGTGTTTGTATTATTATTATTAGGAAGCGTTTAAGTTATCCCGTTGTTGATATATACTGAGTACTAATCCAGGTATGAACATCACTGGGTTTCAAGTAAATCCAGTCGACGATGAAATTCGATTTCTGATCTCCACTACTAACCATAATCCATACGTTCTAAATGTTTTGTGTCTTAATATCTATTTAGAGTCGATCCGTGCAAGTTAGTATTAAAAACTGATCGAAATTCAGTTCTAAACATCAACCACAGGATAACTCAAACTCTTTTTTAATAAAATTATTTAGTATCATTTTTCTAATGAACAGAAAATACCGTAACTTTATCTTTATTGGTACCTTTACATACATTTGCAAACAAGAAAAATGAGTTGCAGTTAACACAATAATTCCTAAAAAATCTAAAACTGTAATACAATTAATTTCAAGTTCAGATAATACACGTTCATTCACTGCTAATTAATTCATCATTATGATTTAAATTTGATGTATAAATAAATAACTCACAATTCATACATATAATGTTGTTTCTGATTTCTTTTGCAGAACTCGTAGAATTGTCTGACTGTTACACTTTCACTTTCGACACTAGCCTTTATGAATTGTGTCTTCGTAGTTCATCTGATCTTGCTCAAGAACCTGTTGTCTCACAGATTTTACCATCAACTATAGTGTACGTTGAAATTAATTTTTGTTGTTGATCTTTTGAGTTTTTTTAACCCAACTGGTTATGTTTAGTTCATTTTTATATGGTAAGAATTTATTTTGAATTTCCTATTATAACTGGTCTTGTCCACCAGCGTTCATATACCTGTATGATCATGCCACTTGATTGAACTGTGCTGTTCAGATTGTAAAAACCCTAGATATCGTCTGGTTCTCTTGGAAACCAGAATATAATATCCCTCTGGCAGGGTATATTTATAACTGAATTGTGAATTATGATTTGTCATAAACTTTTTTTCTCTATCTCTGACTGTTCAGTTTGTTTCGCCCTCACGAATTTTGTCGTTCCTATTATTCTTTGATACCATTAAATTTCGACAAAGCAGTTTTAGAATTAATTGACTTTGGACAACTTCTATACACTCAAGTAATGGAATTGTAAATTAAGCTTCAGTGGAAAGGGTTACATACCTCAAATGGTCATTAAATCTAGAACAATGCTGGTAATTATTTCCAGAGTTGTTAACATTTTGATTAGCAAATTTATAGTTAGTTGGTTAAAATAGTTAAACACTTATCTGAAAAAGCTATCGTTATGCAGTAAACAATTAAAGAATCTTAAGTGACTTTATGAAAATATTATATTACTAAATACCTGTAAGACTGGGAAAAGCTAGCGGCATTCATTTAGTAATCGTTTCATGGTTCGCATCTCAGCTATGATCAGCAACTGTTACAGAAAAACTGAATATACTACCATCTCACTTAATTTTTAGTGGTTAAGTTGCGGTTTATATTCATAACTCAATGGTTACAGATAGTTCTCAAATAAATCTATTCCTTTCTACGGAGTAAAAAATTTGTGCTTCAAGTATTATTCCTTGAACCCTGAGATCGCCAACACCACTACCAACCTAGCCCCTTTCCAGGTACATTAAAGAAGTATTTTTCCATAGTGTAGGCAACTGGGAAGCGATGACCGCCCTCATACCTTTAATAGCACTCGCAACTGGCGTAATGTTCCGTAAATGACTTTACTATATTCGACGTGTGATAATGAAACTGTTTAACAATCGCTAACAAACTACCTATTTCTTCTTCACATGTATACTAAGTTTTATTCAAACATAAATTTGACTCTCATGATTGTGTCCATACGTAAGTGCTAACTATCAGATACTTTTATCTTGTTGCGATCTGTTCTACTGAATTATTCAGTCATTCGGCGATTTATGTAATTTTTTACCGCTTTTTTTGTAGGAATGATTTAAAACATCTATATTCACCTCATATTTATTCGATGCGTCGATCACGATTCGGATAATCTGAATAAGAAAGATTACAAAACCTCATTTTCATATTTAATGTTCTAAAAGTTCCATTTATAAACTATATAATCTCCTGACTTGTAAACCTTTTGTTATAATATCGTGTACATTCATGTTCCAAAAATGTTTTGCAATTACCAATTCATGATTTCACCTTCAAAGTGTAATCCTTCTTATTTTTACCCGTTGTTAAACATCCCTCAAAGGCTTGTTAAGGCGTTAGTTTAGTAATTTCAATCACTCGTTCTGCTGTTGGAAAAAAATAATAAACGAAAGCTCCCTCACAGATTATGATGTCAATGAGCGAGGTTTTATGGTTGCTTTCGAATGACGCGCAATCACAGAGTGAAAGTAACTCATGAAGAAAATAACACAGTGAAGTCGATTGAAATTTCGATAGTACTATATTTTAGTTGTAATAGTTTCAGTGTATTCAACTTGTTTAACGAGACTTTGTCTTGAATCTATAATCTTCCAAACATTTTATGAACAACAGTATTTGAAATATCGATCGTGGACCGTGACCCATGTCAAATGTATCTACAGTTACGTTTCAGTATATAGAGATCATTTAAACGATTATTTTGGAGACTTGGTTGGTTGCTTTAACTTCTTAGCTTACAAAAGATAACTGGTTTGTGTTTTGTTTGAAAAGATTCTTGTCACATGTAGATTCTGGATACTTTGTGCTCCTGCGTTTGCGTGACATCAAGGATAAATATGAAGATAAAAGTTCCAAATATTTGATTTTCAATCCCTTCCTATTGAGCCGACAGTGCTATCGCTGAAGTTATAAATTATAGCTAAATTAAGTTGTAGCTCAGTAGTTAAAGCAGTCGCTCTTCAACCAGTAGGTCATAATTATGAATCTTGCTGTAACTACTTCCGCCGAAGGTGGAGAGAGTCAGCTCTCCCTCTCAAAATACATGTCCACGAGTATACAGCCACTGCCCGGAAAGTCCTACTCATTGCCTTCTCGTAGTGGGGGCGTTGTTTACGAAATCGAGAGGCCGAAAATCGAATGTCCGACGCTTTAACTGGTTTGGTGGATATGGAAGATCCACCTAGGGGAATTGGAAAATCCTGACTCCAAATCAATAGTACACATGAACTCTGAGATCCTTAAGGAACAAATGTCGTACGAACCAGTTATTGGTCACCGGCTACCATGTGTGAATGCATCTCTTGACATTGCTCAACTGAGTTGTCGATCAGACCTTCAGGTCGAAGACTTTGGGTGTGACCCTCCAAGAAAACCACGTGCTTCCGTCTGGGCACCCGCGCAGTATCACAAACCACACGCAAATTAAGTGACTTGTGTGGCGCATATGTATTAGGTGCCCCTTTGTACTAATATTTATGTGTTCAAATAAATACTTCGCTATGGATGCTAGGTAGCATCACTAGTTCTCACAAATGCAGTCTGACACAAAGGTGAGCGCATAACTTTGCACTTGGCAAGTGAATTATTATATAATTATATTATTAAGGTGAATGACTGAGCCTGGATCATTTGGTCTCATTTCACAGTGTAATCTGGCTGCATCTATCCGAGATATGATAAGCACAAAAACTTTGTGGCAAACAAAAGCTGCTGCAGTTCACGAACTGTAGTTTTTTAATTAGTTGTAAAGTTTCGCCGAATTACCTAAGTGAATTTATTGTATTCCGTGATCTACCGAGCATTAACCACTGTTTTCTGAAAAGCTTGTGCTAGTCAACTCGTGAAAAATAACTTCGTGTTTTTTATGCCTAACTAGTGAAAATAACTGTGTTTGTTATCTTTAAAAAATATTTCTACATATTAAATGTATATTTGTTTGTAGAACATTATGTAAATTCTATATTTTTATCCGTAAAATTTGATTGTAATATAAACGCAATTCAATAACAAACGACATCGGTAAATGCATTTTCATTGACGGGATACGCTTATGGGTGTGTTCGCCATATCCATTTTTCTTCGTTTACTAATTGTTGGTGATGCTCTAGAATCTTGGCTGGGATTGAATAACTGACAACAATTTCAAAAAACATTTAACTTGTTAGGAATATAAAATAATTTGGACTATACATTTAAAATAACAATGTGCATAATCCCGAAATAAATATTGACACTGGATAACCCTATTTGGTAAATACACACAATATTCTATGACACCCGTTACCTAATTAATCTTAATTACTGATATAAAGGAAGTGTTCAAGAGTTAATTAAAAATAGTTTGAATCTAGGCTCAAATAAACATATGAATTAACAAGAAAAGTGTAAAAAATAAAGCTCTTTGTTATCAGTGAGGGATTCTCCGCATTATCACATCAAGTTTGCCACCTAATATTCCTCAGTTTGACCAAAATTGAAAATTACCTTGGTTTCTGAAAAAGGTATATATTACACAATAGTACCAGCTCTTACTGTCTTTAAATGTTACTAAGTATATGAGTTTGCGAAGCATAATACTTCTATTATGTTACGCTATCATTCTTGGCACATTTCAAATGTTAGAATTAGCATGGCTACTTAGAAAAGCTTTGTATATCCAAAATCATTACAAATAGTACGGAAAAGCAGTATTACTTCTTCCAGTCCTTCAGCAAGAAATTGCTCTTACTTTTGTATAACTGTCTGATTCAATTATAAATTTAGTCTGTTCGAAAATCCTAATTACTAAATGATATTCATAGTCTAGTGGATGTAGAGTTTCAAAAGGTAATAACGTGAAACAGCTGTTCACTAAGTATTCACGGCTGTGGAATTTGAGACTGCTCCTGGCAAAAAAATCCAACGTAAGAACGCTCAGTGAATTTGCTTAGTATGAAAGATCTGTTTAGGTAACTTGAGCACTTTTAATTTACGAAATAAGGAGATTCGCTGTCATAGACGACTTAATACAACTTGCTTCATAAGTAGCTATGTTGACAGAATCTTAGACGTACCTCATCGTATTCCTTTTCCGATACAGACTTTGATGCACCGTGAGCGCGTTTCTAAAAAGGAATGACCGAATACATGAGTAATGGTTTTTAACATCAATGGACACTCCGATAGTTACAAAAAGTATGTGAAAGGTTGCTAGAAAAGCTAAGGCGAAAATTTTCTCTTTTTTTTAAATAACCTTAGTCATTGCACTATGAAAGTTCATCTCCCAGTGAAACCAGATACTAAACATATTTTTCGTTCGGAACGCCCTGTACCATATGCTGTTCTTGAATTAGTTGATCAGGACTTTAGTCGTTTCCAACAAGCTGGTGTAATCCAAGCAGTCAACTACTGTGCATGGGCCTCACCTATCGTAGGGAATAACGCTGACGAAAACTATACGTATATGTACCAACTTATCAACCGGTTTAAACGCTGCGCTGGATGTATATTAGTATCCGTTTTCAGTTCCTGAAGACTTGTTCGTTAAGTGGTGGAACATGTTTTGCAAAAGTAGACTTTTCTTATGTTTGTCTGCAAGTGGAATTAGATGATCATTTTAGAGAGCTTCTAACCATCAACACTTATCAAAGGTTATTTCAATATACCCTCGTACCACTTAGCGTCCATACCGCACCTGCCATCCTTTAGTAAATGATGGGTGCGATGTTGACAGGTATACTTGGAACAGCAGCTTATCTATGTTATCATTGTTATGGGTTCAACTGACAGCGAAATTTCTGATCGACTGAATCAAATTCTTAGCCGCGTGATGGAGTATTGTTTCCAACTACCTGAAGAAAAGTGTATCTTGTTCATGCATTCGATGAAATCTCTTTATTTTGTCTTCAATAAGAACGGTAGCCGACCGGATCCAGCCAACATAGAAGCCATTCAGAAGATCCCTGCACCAACTGATGTCTTTTCATTAAGATCCTTCCTGGCACTAGTTAATTATTACTCATTTCTCCTTGAAATGCATCGAGTGTGAGGTCTCTTGAATAAATTACTTTCAAAACACAAACTTTGGCAATGGTCAGCAGAGTTCCTAGCATCTTTTGAAAAGTTCATATCAATGCTCAGCTCGAAGCTTCCCTCAACAAACTTCGATTCCCGCATGAGAATTGTTGCTGCATCTGATCCCTCTAGTCTTGGAGTTGGGACACTGATATCTTACCTGTTTCTAGATAAATCAGAGAAGACGTTTGCTTATGCTACTAGATTACTCAAATCAGCCGAGCGGAACTACTGCCAGGTTGAAAAGAAAGCCTTTTCAACAATTTTTGCTGTTAAACGATTCCATAAAATGCTCTATGGCTGTATGTTTACTTTACTGACAGACCACAAACCATAAATTTCAATATTTAGTTTAAAGAAAGAAATACTTTTGTATACGGCTAAAAGATCAAAGCACTGAGCGACAATACCTCTGAGCTATGACTATCGGTCAAGCCGACGCTCTGCCTCGATTGATTGGAGTTCAACACGCTGAATCAGAGGACATGATCACTGCTTTCATAGAAGTAGATCCAGAAGTACGGAATGTATTCGTAAATGCTATTCGAAACACTCCAGTGTCGTCAGATGAAGTCAGAGAAGAAAATCTTCGAGACCGAGTTATGCAAGAAGTTAATAAGTTCCATCTAGGAGGATAACCCTTCAAGATAATCTCTAGAAAGCTTCGGCGCAGATAATCTCAATCATTGGTGACTGCCTTCTATTTGCCGAACGTGTCATCTCAAAGAAGCTGCAACCAGCAGTGCTTGAACATTTGCACGCAGGACATCCCGAAATAAATTGGAGGAAGGCGCAAGCATGAAGTTGTGTGTAATGGCCACTTTTAGACACCCAACTGGAGCAGCTATCCCATTCGTATATTAGATACGCATTAGCAAAAAAAGAACTGTAGTAAACTGGGCTGCAATCATGGCCAATACCACAGTCATTGTGACGGTGTATACAATTGGACTGCCCCGGTTTATCTCACGGACAAACTTACATTTTGGTAGTTATTAAATACAGCAAGTGATCAGAAATTCTTTTTATGAAACATCCAACTTCAAGCTGCACAGTCAGATAACTACGTCAACTATTCAGTCGTTTTGGGGTTCCAAAAGTAATAGCTAGCGACCATGGAACACAGTTTACGTCTACTATCTCGGAATTTTGTCGGCAAAACTAAATCAATCATGTCTGAACACCTTATCCCATCTCCAACCCAATGGCTATGTCGAACGCTTTGTTGGCACAGTTAAGAATGCTCTACAAAAACCAAATGTAAGGACCACTGAAAAGATTCCAGAGAGGTCTCTGCTCATCTATCGTTTTACGCAAAACCCTCAGACAATTAACGGGGTCTCCAGCAGAAGCTTTAGTATGCAGAAAAATACGAACGCATTTCGATGCCAGCTCTTGGGTCTCAACAAAACAGATCGATATCATGATACACAGATCACTGTATGGTCAAAAAGTACCTGCTACGGACTATCGTAGCACACATCTTACATAGATAGCTGGTCAAACCGTGTTGAAGAAAAGAGATTTGGTTCAGTAAGTGTCAGTTGGCTAAGAATTTTGGGTGCTTCAAGCTTACCAGCTAAGAGCAACTTCGATCTCCAGCAACGAGACTCACCATAAAATACCTCTTGGTGTTCTGCTGGACACCTTTGAAATCAAGACCCCAGAAACGGACAGGCCAGTCTCTGGTACCCCTTCTTTATTGCCTAGGAAGTGGATAAACCGAAAGCACAGATGGGCCCAAAAGAGAGGTGTTAGCGGAATATGGAATAGATTAAAGCATATTCTGTGCAAGATTGTGTTTGGAGCACACTGATTGGCAATTTCTTAACTAATTAGCGCCAGTGGATACTTGGAGAAGACTAAAATCTTCTTGTGTACAATTATCAATACACTAACGTTCGTCTTATTGTGATTCCTACTTCTATTCAACCCTGTTTGTTTGGAATATAATTATTTTCCTGTTCTACTATGTTCTTATTTGTGGACTTGTCTAGTGAAGTAAAGTACCCAGGAATACCAAGCAATAAGAGCAGTTGAGTCGTAATAGGATAGAACGTAAAAATCTCCGATGGATGTTAGTAATAAAATTTAGAATCATAGAGAATCACACCCTGGCGTATGATGTGATATTTGTTGTGTTTTGATTTAGTTACCGGCTCCTGTACAGGACGAAAAATGTACCTTCATTCTACTGTTAGTCAGAGTGTCAGTGTACAGCTAAATCAGAGAATGAATGTTAGTTATATGGGGTGAGGTATTAAGACGTTCCTTACCTTTTAGCGTTTCTTTTCAAATTAAGCTGCGCGTGAAAAAAACGTGCACAAAATTTGTAGCGTTCATAATTTCGCTGCATCGGAAAGAGATCTTAAGTGATTGGCGATGACGGGTAACTGGATAAGAATGATAGGATTAGTCATAATCATGACACATCGACCGAATATTCTTGCAATCTAGTTGGGGTTACTAATTTAAACCATCACACGGTTTTAATCCTCACATCACTGACTGAAACAACAAGTTGTTTAACACATACTGCCGTCGACAACAAAATATTCTCGAACAGAAAAAGCGTGGATGGCTGTCACCATCAAGTATTATTTGGATTCATTAGACGTTAAAATTTCCTTACCGACATTGGTTAAATTTGGTTTAACACGATAAACTGACAACTACATTAAGGAAACATTTGCTCAGTAGATCTAGAATGTTTGGTTGTAGTTCATGCTTATAATCAGATATATCTTCTTTTAGTGTTTAAATCGTCAGTGTTCCTTAAGCTAGTCAGTTTATTCTGATTCTCTGTGGGATAAAATTTACAGTAATAACTAAATCTTTAAACACAATAAATGTTTATGTTTTCAGAATTATAATAGTAGTATTTAAATGATACGATGTACTCTAAAACATTCTGAAAACTGTTAATTATTCTATGCTAAAGTCTTGATTTGAAAGTGCACGTACCTAATAAAGTACTTTGCAACAATGTAAAATAATTGCTATTTAAGATTTTATTGCTTATGAATAAAGTGACGAAACCTTAAATTACTTGTAAAATTTCGCATTTAAATTCTTGATTACTAAAATCCAGAGGTGTCAGTAGTTTCCTTTACAGCTTATGTATATATTTACCTTTCGAATACTTTCTAGCAAATGCAGTTTCGTGATATTTTGGTGAACCTAAGTAACATAAATATTTTTCTCTTACAACTGAACTCATTCAGCTCATCACAGATTTTTTCAGTAAGTTCATTTCTATAAGATCATACTAGTTACTGGTTTTGTATTCATATGCATTTCAGAAATTAGAACTATTTTCAGTTGGTGTTTAAAAAGTAAAAAGGTATACTCATAGCACACTCACCCCAGGTGTCCGTCGAATTGTAGTAGATTTTTGAGACGTTAACATTTGAGGGGAAACCTAAATTTATGAAAATATTCCTTGTTTATTATTTAAAGTTTAGTTTATGTGATTTTAACGAAAACCAAATGATTGAATGGAAGTAATCGATAATGATCCAGATTTGTTTGATTTAAAGATGTGTTCCATTACAGATTGACATAGGTTAGACAACCACTGAAAATCAGTGAACGCTGGTCAGCCGTTTCCTTCCAATCTGGAATTGAGAAATCCTAGATTTGGATAAAAGTTGGCTAGTACACCTTGATTAAGTGTTGTTATGGAAGTTTTGTATTAAGTATTAGAACACACAAACAATACATATTGTTGTGTTATTTCATTTCAAAACACTATGGATTGTCTATCTTGGTTACAAAATTGACTCCCAAAATGCTCATTTAACCAAGTATTACTTACCACTGATGTTTTATCGTGCAAACTAATGCAAGAGAAAAAACGTGGACACACAATGTTTTCTAGATATTCTTTTTCAACAAGCTTTTCACCTCTGAAATAAAGCAAATAAACATTAATCAACTACAGTGATTATTACTGTTTAACTCAATAACTATTATGATATATCCGTATTTGAAGTTTCTGTGTGGTTTACTTGGTAATCCAATTTTCTGACTACTTAATTTCACCAGGTATTTATTAATTTGAACTGATAGCTGCTGATATATAATGATGATATTCTAGAATGAAGAACATATCTCATGAATGTGGTAATAAATAAAAATATAATTCCAATATTTCGTATTACAGTATACCACAGACTCTTTTCTTTTCAGAAACGATACATTGTAACTATCTAAAAATTCCCATCATATTCACAGACTAATATATGAACGGAAAATATTCTTCTCAATAAATTCTCTCCAAATTCTTCAATTATATTGAGAATAATAGTCCAAAAACTGGGCAGATCTAAGGCAAAATACATTGTCTAAAAGTATGGCATGTGAAATAAAATTGTTAATACTGAGGTGACTAATATGCAATGTTAACTTGAATAAGCTTACACGTTAAATGAAATTGTGAGATTAATGATCAGAATAAATATGGTTCAGATAGGATGAGAGAATAATTTAATAACAAATCCGATCAAATTTCTAGTGTATAAATCATACATTTACTTATCCGATTTTATGGATACTCCTAATATGTTGCATATCTGATGAGCAATGTAAAGGATATTTCAAGTGTCATCAAAACTCCGAAAAAATCTCAACCTTTGGTTTCTATGTGAGCTTATCATTAAGAAAATGTCTTACCTTCGCGGCCCTGCTCCTTTAATAACTTGCTCCTTGATTAAACGATTAAATAATCCACGAGCCACAGTATACTCTACTCCAAGACTTCTAGCTATAAAAGCGGGTGAGACTGAATCTTCGTTGAGACACAGTGCTAATACACGTCGAAAGAGACAAGTGGCCTGGAAATATTTGAAAATTACTTATGGTTTTTACACAAACTTGACATATTTATGGAAATAAATCTGCACTTACCATTATCTTATCAATTTACTGAAGTTATTTGTGATTTTAGCACTTAAGAACCTGTGAAAAACTTCATTTCTAGTTATATACCTTTTTCTAAGTCTAAAACAAGAAGTTAAAAAATCTACACAGAATTAAGCTCAGACGTCTTGTTGTAAGAGATGAAAAATTGTACCGCTGGACACTAATGCACTTCCTAAAACGTCAAATAGAAGTCTACATTTCAGCAGTAAAACTGAACTTGTTATGAATACAGTTTGTAATTCTGAAGTATTATTTAGGTTTGCCAAAAAGAGGACAGCTTATTTTACTTCATTGAATTCCTTTTATATTCATAGTCGTAAACTCATTAGAAGAAAAATTAATAAGTATCCTTTTTTCATCTACGGTACAGTTGTAGAAGTTAGAATAACTTAATTTTTCAAAATTACCTTTTCTACTTATATCAACGCATTACTAACTGACTGTTATCTTTAAATCTCATCAACACAGTTAATTACTCAGAAACATGTATTTACTTCAGAATGGAGAATACTAAATGTTCACTATTTTACAGCGTATACCTTACATCAGACCTAAAATACAAAACAAAACATTTAAACTATGTATTATGATGTTAGATCTATTCACTTTTTGAAACTTTGTAGATAAATATAAGATTGCACTTTAATAAAGTTAGCAAATTGCATATATTCAAGATACTAATATTAAATCCCATTCATAGTTAAAATGAATTTTGGATTAAAAGTAAAGGATGTGTGGTGTTTTTCTACTGTCTCCTAAACTGTATTGTTGAATCCATATTACAACCAATAAGAGTTAATTTTAAAGTTCAGTGAAAAATTAGATAAAGGTAAATACAAATGTTCACAAATCAATCTCATAAGATTTAGTCTAGCTGATAATAAATTATGTGGTTCTTATACCAATAAAGTTTCACATCCACTAGATTTTACTTGTCAGATTAATAGTTCGCTTAAATGCTTTTTATGGGGGAACTCAATGGTTATAAACAAACGATAAGATGGATGAAGTTTGCATTCAAAATTTACTAATTGGAATTTCAGTTGATTACAGAAAAATATAGTTTTCTGGCTAAAACTGTCAGATCTTCAGTTGACTGACTTTAACAGTCCCAATATTACTTTTCAGAGGAAATTAGGATATCTAGGGACATTTATTGATTAGTTTGAATATATATGTTTACCTCAATCCACTCAAGACGACATTCATAAATATGTTAATGGTTTCTCGCTAAAATATAAGACAATAATTAATCCTTTGATATAATACACGTTTAAATCTGCTTTCACGTAGTTCTGTTTCACATTCTCTAACACTCATCTATGTGTTTCCCGAAGATAAATCAAATCTATATTGATCAAACTGATATGTTTATAAAATGCAGGTATAAATACACAAGGACTAAGTACTATTATAAATACTACAATTGAGTAATAACAAGACATCTGTGTTTAGACAGAGAATAGAGGACACTATAACTGATATATCAAAACTCACTTCAAATGGATATACTACGTTGACTATTACTCTGTTAATCGAAAAATAAAGAAATAAACCTTTGTAGTCTTAGGTATGTCTGCTGTGATTTTATTCACTCGCAAATCTAACTGTCTATCCACTGTGTCACTGAGAAGCTTCAAAATAAGAGGTCTATGTTAGTTAATGTTCTCTCTGAAATTTATCTCCAATGTTTTTCAAGAAAGCTCGATTATTATTTTGAAAATTTATGAAAAATCATTATTTCTCTACAAAACATCCAATTTCAGTAAAACATTTCGGATATTGATGTCAATCATTTTAAAGTGTTACAAATGTGCGATGAATCATATGAAACGTTCCAGAAAGACTAAATGAACACTCTTTTCAACCCATTATTAAAGATGAATAAATACTTCTTATGTGCAAAACAAAATTTGTCACTTAATATAGAGAGTCGGCTATATTGTAAGAATACGACTGCCGATAACGAAAGAGAATTTTTATTTGTCCTTATTTGATGATGGATTTTAATGTGATAAAATCCAATGATAAATTACACTCTTGTAACTGAATATTGATGTTGTTAACGAATTACTAAACTGGTTCGTCTGGATAATAGATTAATATTAAATAAATGAACTTTTACATTTTAGTTCATTTTCTAATTATTATTGTTAGCTTTCGGAAGTAATAGGTTTACTGTTTATAGATCTACTGTTAAAATAAATGATCATACTAGCCAAAGCTTTTTACTAGGCCACTTTGAAAATAACCAACTAAAAATAGACTAATCAGTTTAACAAACTACCTTTCTAGCTTCAACACCCAAATTCTGAATAGTTTCATCTGTGATTCCTCCGGTTTGAAGAAGTTCAGGCTAAATGATTCAACAAAAGTAATTTCAAAGTTATAATAACTTAAAATATACTATTTTTGTCATATATATATGGAAAATAGATTCTAGTTACACACGTTTAAAATCATAGAAATCATTCATATGAGGGATTTACAGGTGGTCGATTAATAATTTTTGAATTTTTAAAGTATATACCTTTGACGATCGTCAGTGAAGTAGTAGTATTTTTCAGTATGAGCAGGGAGACTGTACTGACTGTACTGAAGTAAAATCTCGATTTTTTGTCTTAATTATACTTATATCTTTATTAGAGAATATTTGAATTCAACAACAGGATAATTCAAACCCATTCTAATAATGATATAAATATAATGCACGTTGAACAACTGAATGCCAACTAGATTCAGTAGCTCAGTGTGTAACCCCTTTTTCCCTTTTGAGTCTCTATCTGAGTATCAACGAGTCCTGGATAGAATAAAATGCACGTTCAGGACTCCAATACAAGCAAAAAATTTCTCAGTATAATTGATCCTAATAGAAATTAAGGAACATTTATTAGCTGCATTTTTAAAACATCTATTAGTTTATTTAAAGTATCACCACTTTCACAGACTTGTAACAACGTTTTATAGCTTTCATCTGCTAATAAAAAGCTCTTCGCATAGTACGTTACGCTATCTTTTTAAAATATTTAACTTATCATTTATTTTACAACTGAACTTACAATTCCAGCACTAAATTTTCACACTGAAAACAACATCTTAAAAATTGGATTCGGTGTTTTAACACTTTCAACTAATGTGGAAAACAGACGGCTAGAATTCTTTCTTTATAATTAGATATTTTAAACTGAACTGAATAAAAAATAATTACATGTTAGTTAGATTAAGATTCAGGTAGTGCAACTATATCCATAATTTTTCCTGAAGTAGACCTCGTACTCTGTATATTCTAGACGTAAAACTAGTTAGCCATAAATGTTTTTTAAGTGTAGAATAATTCAAAAGTTGCTTCTTTTCACTCAAGAAAGTCAGGTAAGTTTTAACGCATGACAAATTGTACAGGCACGTTTATTTGTTCAAACGTACCACTTTCTTACTGAGTGCAGACTGTGTCATCAAAATATTGATCGTATCAACAAATGTTTGCAAAGCGAATAAAAATGGTTTCATTTACTTGAAAAAAATTAATAGGTATTACCTTCAATTTAGCGCAGATCTCACAAACATGTGATGTAGGAACGTCTCCTTCTTGTAGAATTCGAAAGCAAACAGCATGCTGCCATTTATCACATCCATCACATAAAATCATCACACCATCGTCCTAAAAAAATCAAAACGTTTTTCGTTTACAGAAATTTCGTTTTAAAGTATTATAACAGAACAAAATATAACCAAATAAGTTGTATACATGTATCTTGACCACATACTTAGAAAAACTGTAGTTATTAACATCCAATATTCTTTTAGTAAATTAAACAGTATCAAACTTCACTATAATTAAACACTAAAATTTCTCCTAACGTAATAATAATAATCTTTTAATCCTAACCATTTTTTATGAACCCTTTACAATAAAATCTGCTTAAGTGTAAAATCACTTACTGTTTTACGATAAAACGTATAACTATACATTTCTAATTATTCCCGTCAATCAGGGAACTTCCATAATCAGTTACATTTCTATCTTATACAAATCGAATATGCTAATCAACGTTTGTAGTGGTAAAAACATTCTGTCAGTCACGATACCATGTATCGGTTGGCATAATTACTAATCTTGAGAAATACCAAATCACAAAAAATTGAAAAGCGATTGCACTTCATCAAAAAAATCCGATTCAACTGATCACTCTTTGTATTATCGAACTAAATGAAATTTAATTCAGTATGAATTAAAATATGTACTTATCTTGTCGAAACCAAAATAATCTAAATCTATTTGTTTTTTTCTGGTGAAACAAATCAAAAACAAAATGGTAATACCAAGCATAAAAGTTGTAATCCAATGCATATGAACAGAGAAATTCTCAATTAATAAACAAAATGTTTTAGATTAAATAGGTTTTAGTTTCAAAAACCTAAATAGATTTTTTTAAAAATCGTATTGATATATATTTTATTTACTAGCGTATATGCAAAATCTAAGTGAAACCAATCCTTTAACTTTATAATCTACCTGCTTGAAAAGTAGAGGTAACAAAAATAATGACTACTTTGGGACTCAAGTGTCTTCTCAAATTTTGTTTTTTTTAATTTTCTTTAAAATGTGACAATCTTATAAAAAGAATGGGTTTTGTGGAGAGTTTTAGAAATTTCACAGGTTGAAATCATGAATCGATTGAAGCTAAACCACCATGGAAAACCTGGAAGCACTGAACGGCCGTTTCGCCCTAGTATGGGACTCCTCAGCAGTGCGCATCCATGACATTAACACCGTTGGATCCTGGCTCAATGGTCTAGTGGTTAAGTGCTCGCGCGCGAAGCCAGTGGGTCCTGGGTTCGAGCCCCGCGTGGTGCGGGGTCGTGGATGCGCACTGCTGAAGAGTCCCATATTAGGACGAAACGGCCATCCAGTTCTTCCAGGTTTTCCATGGTGGTCTAGCTTCAATCGATTCATGATTTCAACCTGGGAAATCTTATAAACTTTGTATGATAGAAAAGAAAGATTCAATGAGTAACATGACTTGAGAAATTTCATAATAAAATGAAGTTAAATAGATGCTTTTTAAGCCAAGCAGAAGTTCCCACTACTTAAAAGGGAAAAAGGATTCATTGAAATTAAATATAGTCATAATTTAAACGAGATCGTTTCTGATTTTTCTCTTAAATAACCAATACAAATCCCTAGAACTTTTGCATTGGTTGCTGTTGTAGATAAAAGCACTGTAGAAAGAGTTTTTAATTTGATAGTTTAGCGGTGTGAATAAATTTCATTCAATTTTTGTGCATTCTAGGTTTGTAACGGTTGTTATATTTAGTGGAATAACTCTCACTATTTTCTTTTTCAGTTAATATTTGTATAAAATTAAATCCATAAACCTGTGTATTTTAAGTGGATTGGCAAAATGTTTCAGCATGCACTCCGAAATGTCACAACACAGTGCAGTCAATTAGTGTTACGAACGGTAACTTACTCTGAATAACTTGCTTAAAAAATCATTCTTGGAAATAGGTTACTTAAATTTCTATTTTTATGCTAAACTGATCAGCTTTTTTAACTAGAAGACTGTACACTATACAACCCAAGATATGAAATTTCAAATAAGTCTTGATCAGTATTATTCATCAATTATACATTTATTAACACGGTCGAAATTTATTTACAAATTAAGTAGTGGTTACCTCAGTAATACGAAAAAATGTCGGACATCAAAGATTATTTCAAATAATTGAAGTTTATCACTTCATAAGAGATAGCGAAGTAATATTTCAATCTTTTTTACTTAAATAAAACCAATTTTGGTCAGAGAAAATACACCTAGCTATTACGCGTAACCAGTTAGAGTGACGACTATACTTTTAAGTATATGTAGATCATTTGGGATTTTTCTGTATGACACTTAGACCACTGAAACAAAATATACGAGGGAAGCAATGTGACTTAAATTCTATTAAAGCAAAGTTAGTGACTACACACTTCGAAGTGACCAGAAATATTATTATTGACAAACTAGTAATATAAATGTATGCACTTAAAAGAATATGATCCCCATAGATATTCGTCAAGTCAGTCATATACAACTTAAAACTTGAAACAAATATAAGTTTACCCGAATTCCTACAATTTCTACCAATATAGGAGGAATGAACTAGCAAGATACAAATCGGATAGGTCGGAGTATTAAGGTTAGTAGTGGGAAAAAGCAAAAACATTTGGTTTGAAAATGGTGAGTAAAATCGAGAGAAGAGAAATACAAAGTTCTATCACAACCCAATACTTAGCGGAAAAGGGGCATTGAATTCAAATGAACCCTTACAAATAAATTCTAGTCGTGTCGTTTAAGCTCTTTAATCATAGAATCCAGTGGTCTCTCAGACTCCAATTGGAAATAAGTTAAGAGAGTTAAATTGTGCTAACTTTTTTTAACCTTCCGTTTGAGGTCGTTATAAGATGTTAATGTTAATTTTATGGTTCGATGAATATGATAAGCTAGCACGTGATGGACACAGTTTAATATTGCTCTGTGTCAATCTCATTCTTTCATAAATATATAACTGACACATTGATCTTCTAACTGATCTCTCTAGGGATTTCCTGTTACAACTTTTCTGTGTCCTGTGATTCACAGACAATGCAAAATCGCTCAAAAGCGTCATCAGAGTCCAGATATGTGCTCCAGATATAATGACACCTATTTATCGAATATCTTTATGGATGAAAGACAAGGGTGTGATCTGAATGTAGTTTAGTCGATTTTATCGGTCACTGGGTCAGATAATTTCTCACTTCATAATCGAGGTTGATCCCCTTTAACTGAGAACACGTTTCTGAAGATACTTGCAACAGATGACGTCGACCTTTTCAAAGACGAGGCCGAAAGCCATGCTTTGACTTAACCTGTTTATTTGCGCGTTAAAGCCATCCGCTGCACTTAATAGATGAGAGAGCCTAGCTGTCTGAAGGATATCCGAAAGCTGTAGGTGGTTATTCATTTACTTTATCCAAACTCCAATCAGTGAAACAATGAAACATAAACGATGTTTTCCCCTTTACTTCTGAAGTCTTATTGATTACTTTAAGAAGAGGGAAAAAGAGATCATTGGCTGGAATCCACTTAAGAAAAACCTATACTGCTTTTGAACTTAGTGAAATACATACACCAATAAATTGATAAACATTGCAGTCAAGTATTTATAAACTCGATGGTCGAACCGCACTGGTATCCCACATCATGAGATGAAGTCGTGTCAATAAGCAGACTTTGCGCTAAGTGCAAGATTAGAAGACACAGATTTTCATTGACGAGGGATAATGAAATCGTAGCTGGTGAACGCTTTTGTTCGATCAGACATCAAAAGTTTCGAACTGCGGTTTGAGACGTAGTGTTAGAAGGAGTAACAATACTTTGTGGACTTCAGCAGATCACAGTAGGGACTAATGCGAAGAAAAATCAAACCAGGTGAGGAGGGTTAACAACATAAATACTAAAGGTATCATGAAATGATCAAATGAGTTTCATGGTGACAAATGTTTTTTGAAACGAGGTCAATTAACACTTCTCGGTTGTAAAAACTATAATTAGATTTGAAATGGTAAATATTTTGTGATTCATACAAACAAAATTATTCCTAAGTAATTACGTACTGAATTATTGGATTTATACAAAAACATTAACGTTGGTCGATAACTATCTTCACGTTAAAATTCCATCGATGTGGATAAACGTTTTTGGTGTGTTACTTCAGCCAGAAGTTTATCGTAATTTTTGACTTTTAGATTTCATTATTGTTCACTTACCTTATTTACTCCACATGGGCAGCGAGCTTCATAACTTTCTAATTCATTTTCATCAGATCTTAGTGTTTGTTGTTGAAATGATAAAGTGAGATCATCGTTTTCATTCACTTTACTCGCATTCAGAGAACCTAACTGTAAAGACAATGGAAATGTAGACTAAGATACAGTCTATTTGTACAGTGTATTTTTCCTTAAAAGCTGGTCGACCGTTTTATGTAATATTTGGGGCTTTCTCGCATTTTATAAAAAACGTCCATCCCATTGTTTATTCTTTGAATAACTTAACAACGTTTAACTTAGTTGTTGTTAGAAACTTCCTTGCAAATGTTTGCTAACTTATACGTTAGTTTAGTGCTACTAGACCAATTCAAAAATAAGATTCTTTTGATATCCTTCCCTGGTTACGTTTAGACGAATGAACTTCATTTAAACTTTTTCATTACTTTAAACTGACAACTATTCTAATCAGTATGAGGTAAAACCAACAAATTCCATACATTTAGCTGAACAATAGGAGAACTAAGGCCCAGTTTGTACAGTTTACCTGTAAATGGACATGAATCAGAAGTAGCATTAGAATCAAACTTCAATGGCTTGAGTTCTTGCAAATTACATTATCTGTACGATATACACTAGTTTACCAATTTTCAAATGATATATGGAGATAGGCATGACAAACTTATTTTGTAAATAGTTCTTGATGTTGTTTGTATTTATTCTGTTAGTTTTTACAGTTTGTATATTTACCACAAAATGATTGTACATGTTGTTTAAGTGTATGACCCTGAACACACTTTCTTCGATTGTTACACGCATAGCATGACACACGCTGTTAACTGCTAGCAAATACACTACTATACACACACCTCTCGTTCTCTATTGCTCGTGGTTGTGATAATTGAACTCTTAGTCATCTACTGTCTACGTTTATAGACTGCAACCACATTTATATTATATTCTACGTTTGGCTATACCACTGGAAGCACAACAATCTTATTAGAATCATTAATCATCTATAATTGTGGATTTTGGTATCAAACGCAATCTGAGCACACACAAGCCAGCTGACTTAATTAACGCCCATAATTTTTTCTTGTTTTTATAACGTATAACTGATATTTTATAATACTACTGTTTGTACGCAACAACTTTATTACTATTTTTAAGCCCGTATATTGTTTGGTCCACCATGGATATATAAGTCGAAACAATTTATAACTATTTTTTAAGGTAATTAGTTTGAAGTTTGGACACACAGTTGTGCTGCTAGTTTGTTTGTAGTTGTTTATCCACAAACTATCATAATTTTTATTGACCTCTTTCAAAGTCTTCATTTTAAACCGATGAATTTCATCAAATTGCATTCCTATTTCAGTAATTTCTATCTAATCATTCAAAGGATCCAATTTATTGTCATACAGTTTAAAAGTGAACAGTTCATTTGGACATTTAGAATGTACGAACCATTTGAAATAGAATAAGTTTGTGTACGAATAACTGTTTAAGTTTACTGTGTCATGTTATCGCTCTATTATTTATTTATATTAATTATGATGTCATCTGACAACTGCGCAGTAAACTTTGTAGTTCATCAGATTTTCTGATTTTATTTAATCAAATGAGTTGACTACAGTTTACACACATAAGCAGTTGTGATTCAAATCTTGAGTTGTACTGTCAAATTCCTAAATTATTTTAATAGCTAAATGCCGACAAAATACTCCTAATAGTTTGTTTCCAATCAAGCTTCAAATTATAAACTGAACTTGGACGTCTCTAACAAAAAGAAATCTTAATTTTATGATTAATAAAGCAAAGTCTCGTTGAATTGTTTAATTCATAATACGAATACTGAGTAAAATGATAAAACTAACCGAAAGTTCATGGATGCTCTCATCTTCTTGTGTTGATTTAGTAGACTTTACAGATCCGGCTAATAATCGTCGACTAGTCTGTATGTGCATTTTGATGCTACGGCAACTTCTCTTTATGAAATAACACATACCTGTGGTGAGCCTGGTAACATAATGTTAGTTCAGTAAAATATGTTAACATACAGTTTTCACATTGCCGAGCCGTATATTAATGTTATCTTCTTCAAAGTTGAAACTGACATTATCTGCTTGCTTGAATCCAGGAGGAACGTAACTCTCTGGTGTAACTAAAATTAAAGCATAGGTTGCATGTATACTGATAATTAATTTTGTGGTTCAATTATTTACTTTGCTCACTGTTTATTTATTTATTACTTTATTAACAACTAAACATGTCTTTTAGAACTAGCAATTTAAACTTCCTAAAATCTATCACTCAACCACGTAAGCTTAGATCAAAATTCATCTCATAAAAGCTTACTGCTTTCATATAACGAAAATCTGATTCTATTTTTGAGCGTTTTACATAACTATTTGGAGTTATTTTATTTTATTTTTCATTGACTGCTTGTAGTCAGGTGAATAGCTCAAAAAGATCTTCCGTACAAAATGACGGTTTATTTTGTTTATGATTTAAGTTAATTTTAGCAACTCGCCACTCGTCTTTGCATTCAATTAAGATTTTAGGCTTAATTTTATTACTCCAACTTATAATTAGTTGTTTAAAAATTGTTTACTTCTTTATCAGTTACTGGTTGTGTCGTAACAACTTTACAAACAATGGCCTAAGGTCACTTGGTGTTTTACTGTGACAAACAGCAACACACAAACATGTTACATCCAGTTGATTTGCTTGCAAAAGAAAACTAAACAAAGATACTCGTTGCTTTACGATGAATTTTAATCATAAACGTTAACAGAGAAATGTTCCAGCTGAATTAATAAAATGGCTTTAGATAAGTATATAACCACTAGAGGATGACTGTAATAGAATAAAAAATAATCTGAAACAAGCATATACCCCGCTTTCAGTTTCAGTTTCAAAAAGTTGTGCTCAACCTAATTAGGATAGGGCTAATTTCCTAAGCTATTTTATTTATGAAGACTTATCTATATGAGCCAAAGACTTATTTCATCTCATAGACCGTATCTGAAGAAATACTAATAGCTTTTTGGGATACAATAACTAGATTCATCATTTAGTACAGCAAAGCTCGCCAACGAAGCCCATACAAATTAAAAAGCAAATAGTGAAGTAGTGGAATCTAGAAAGAAGTCGTTGTTGAGTGAAACTCCATCTCCATATAAAGATGGCTAATAACATTTGCATGCTTGAGTCTTTTTCTGGGACTGTTATCTCATTTCGAATAGAAAAATACAAATGGAGGCGCACAGCTTGGTATATAAGTTATCAAATAACTTACTGTCTCATATTTCGGTCTATTATTTCGTGATTTATAAAATTTACGTGATGAAATTTTGTGATTGACACTGAATACTTAAATATACCGTCTTTGAAATGTTTGTTCTAGTCCGTTTTTTTAAAAAACCTGATCACAGCTTTTAAATGTCCAGCCTCCTTATTCCATCAAATTCATCTTGACCAACAAAAAGCTACATTTTTAATATTTGACATGCAAAATACTACCAGTTTTTGCACTAATGGTATAAAAACCATGTCCTTTTAAAAAAATCACTCATGTAATTGTTACTACCGACATCACATGCACACACAACATGGATCTTTTTGAACTAATCAATGCACAACTTTTAAACACAGTGTTTTGGAATAAATAGAAAACAACGGGTTGAATGAGACATATACTCATAAAAATAACCATTTAAATATTAGACATTTTACCCATATTACTAAACATAAATGTAAAAACAACCAATCAACAAATTCTTAAAGCACATTAGCGAAGTGATTAAGCCTTGTGCTACCAACTCAGTTTTGAACCAATCTGACATATTATATGCTGTTATGCCGTGACTACAGAAGTTATTTGTTTCACATGCAACCGCCTTTGAAACTGTACATCACGGATATAAAAATAACATACGCTTTTGTATGTTCCAGGCGCGAAGCATGATGTTACGACCATAAGGTGACGCAAGCGGTAAAAAGTTTTTTTTAAAGTGGCGAGTAGTATGACATTATATTCACAAGTCTTTCCTCAGGTTTTTGATGAAATATTCAGTGCTATAATTTAAAACAAACCAAGAACGACTCCTTCTAAAACATTTTATCTGACCTTTGCTTTTACACTGACGTCAGCAGATTAGCGCGAGTTTATTTTTTTGAAAACTATTACGTTTCCAGTTACGTGATGGCAACAACTACTGTAATCCTGTTTCTAGCAAACTGTGAATTAACAATATATGATGAAAATATTTTCACATCTATTTAATATTTGTTCCTCAAACTAGGAAATTCAAAATATAAATCACGAAAGCTGAATTACCTTGTCATATTTTTAATCATGAATTTCAATCAGTGTACTTGTTTTTGGAAATAATAAATATAGACCTTGAGTATTTTTTATGTACTCAAGGTTGAAAGTTTCAGTGAAAATTCCGGTCTAGAATACGCCGTTTCATGATTAAACTGGGTTCATCCGAATTTGTGAAGTCAAAAACGGTATTTTCACATCATTGTTAATCTTAAACCTTCAGATTACTGAGTTTCAAGATCGACTCAATATTTTGAAATGAGTAAATCTTGTAAGTAAACAAAAATAAAAGATGTCAGCAATATTTAAAATATCATCCTTGGTAGTTAACGAAATTTTCTAAAAAAAAGCCGGTTACCTTCGTCGTAATACTGCAGTTTCATCGTTATCATTAGTTCCGATGGTAACTTGGATAATCTTTCTCAAGCAGTTCGAATATTTTTGAGTAGATTCAAAGTAGCATTCCGTACTTCTATTTCAGAGCAGTTTGAGATCTCGCATATAGTGCTGGGTTCTCTTTTGTTTTCAGTTTTTAAATCAAGTGATAGCTTCTCCTGGCCATAAGAAAGTCTGAAACAATAGGACTCAATGATGTTATATTCACAAATTTTGCTGGGATGTAAATCTTTGTCCGACAAATAAAGCGCAATGGTCGCTGATTTAAGCTAGACAAAATTTTATTTTGTATTGCTTAATAGACCTACAAAATGGCGGTCGATGGCATCGAAACAACCCTTAAGCCAATAAACTATTTTTGAAGAAGCAGGTAAGATAGAGCTTTCCTTCAAAATCTTTAGCTCGATTCCTGAAATTGAGTAATTTGATTTTGTTTTATACCTTCCAGTTGTTTGTCATGAAAAGCGGATTCAGGAAAAATATCCCTGAAATACAAAACATAAGATACTGCAACCGCAAACAGCTTTTTTATAAAAACCAGGGACTGGAGTTCGACTCCTAGCTCATTAGGAAACATTTTCGACCACTATCAAAGAGATGATAAGGAAGCCGAAGTTTACATTTCCAACATTCTGTTTGACTGCTATAGCTGTCGCCATTGTAGTGCCAGCGATAAAACGTTATCCCTTACGAAAACGCAGCACTTGAGATATTTAAAACAAACCTTCATACACCACTCATAACAATAGTGATTGGGCTAAAAATGAGTTAAATGCTTTGAAAGCGGTCTCTCCTGAATTTTAGTTTCTTTATAAGGGTTTAGATTTGTGGTAACGTCTTACCTTCAGCCACACGATGTACAAATGGAAAACCCTGAGCTATATTTTACATGTGGTGGTTTTTAATCGTTTAGCAGAGAGTCTCTGAGTCCAAAATTAAGCGTGAGATAAGAAGCAAATAGACTGGCAGTAAGTTCACTAATTCACAAATGAAATCCTTATATATGATCTCTCATTGTTTTGCCATTTGATTATGGAATAGGTCCTCATAACTTGTTATTCCTTAAGGCATTTAGGAATCTCACCGTTGTTCGAATTCATTATTCAGGCTTCAAAGGGTATTTTTGGTTTCGAGTTTTCATCGAATCTTGTTTTATTTGGTAAAGTTTAACAATAATAACAACTCTTGCTAGTTTACTTCTTATCGGCTCTAAACACTCATGTAACTCATAACTAAAGTTGTATCATATTTTGACATGAATTCGTTTGTTTCTTCCTAAATCCCTTTTATTTGGTTTGCCGCTTCACCAGGAAATGCAATGTGAGTTCACTTTGGCTTTAATATTTAAACCACAACTAATAAAAATCTCAGGGTACTGTTCAGTTCTTGATTTTTGAAATTCGTCGTGAGAATAAAACCAGGTACACCTGACCGAACATCCGTATACACGTCTTGTGTAAATTGAGTCACTGCTCTGAGTTTTCTCTTGTTTCCGTTGGTTGTAGTTTATGTTTTATACTAAAAGATGTGGTAGCATGATGATATCAATCTTTTTAGAGAAATGTCTGTCGCTATTTATGACTTCCTGTAGCCTATGTGACAGAGAACCTCGTAGTAGCTGCAAAACATTGGTGGAAGTGGTACTGAAAAATATATGCTTGCAAAGATTACTACAAAACGAAGTAATGGCCAAAAAATGGTTAACACTTGCAAAAAATACTTTCGATAAACTGAGTTCTCTTTAAAATTAGTCATCAGGAGTAAATTCGTGATCGTCAGTCCCAAACATCTTAGCACATCGACTGAGACCATCATGATGGTAATTAATATGAATCTCCCAGGTAGAACTATTTATCACAGGGACTGTGATATTTTCCAGAATAACGCATGCACTGAGATCTGGATAGTCAGTCTAAAATATCATTGAAATTGGTAGCTTACAATTAACGTAAGTTTGCTTACCTATCTGCACAGTTTAATGTGTCCATATCGCAAAGTGTGACTGAAGAATTAGTCATAACTCAGACATCATTACACAAAACAGATCTACGCGTGCTAGATCTTGGATTGAATTGTGTAGTGACTAGTAGGTTCTCAAAAGAAATAGCTTTATAAACATTCGTTGCTGATGCTGATCATGTTATTTTAGTGGACCTTACTACTAACTGAAGTCTTTTGGTCAAGCTTTTTTGTTAGATTACGTCTTGATACGTCATGGGGCGCGTTTCCTCCGATAACTTCTCAGAAGTACAGCCACACATTTCGTTACTCCTGCCTACCGCCAACCATCCTATCACATTTTAATTGGTCGTGGGGTCATTTTGTCTAAAGAAATTCGAAAAATAACATTATATAACTCTTCTCCATACATAAGTTACATGTGGTATGCTGTGTCACAGAAAATTCTGTGAATCCGTTACATGTTCTTAGTCCTTATCTATTACATTTGTGACAATTTTACTCTGTCGAAATTTTTTATAAGTTTATACATTTGTAATCTCATAACGTCTGGCCACATTCTTAAGCTATTGTGAAATATTACTGGTCCGTTCCCCACTTTTCAACGTGTCATTGTAGCTCAATAATGTCAAGGCCTGGTCCTGTTACACAAAGACTAAATTCCACAAGCACTTCGTAACTGGCAACTACTAATGGTTATGTAGAGTAATGGTCTATTTCGTTACTAGTACTACTCTAATAATAGGCCTAATCCTAAAATTGTAACTGCCTAATCCATGAGATCTTACGTAGAAGTCACATTATTGTCTATACTGACTCATCCTACCGTAACAATCAGCAATATATGATGAAGAACACATTTAGGCTGGAGATAAAACAATATATTCAATATGAATTAAAGTAACACAAGAATGATCACACTTGCAAGGTCGTTCCATGCCATCTAATGAACTTGGTTATAATTAAACTCAACTCAATTTCCTAATCGCAGAAGTCTGCTTAGAGGCCAAGCAGAATGAAGCAGGAATTATTATATCCGCCCTCTTTGCAAGTAGAGGCGGTCGGCTTTCTCCGTTCTGTGTTTTTTCTGCAGTTTCTTTCGTGTAGCTGCATAATTTAATGTTTCAATGTGCTGAACTTACGCGGTTAATATAATAGCCCAGGTGTTGTTGCAAATTTTCATTGAATCAGCTTTGTTCTCTCGGTTTTCGCTGAAATAAGTGTTAATAATAATAATAATAATAATTTATTCTCAAATAACAGTTTGTTACATGAGGCATGCCAGTTTACAGGCAAGATCAAATTGATACAAATGATACAATATACACTGTATTAAATTACATAGCTGGGTTGAAAATTTATAAGACATGAATGTAGATTGTTTTAATCAGTACTACAGTTGGCGCGCTTCACGAGAGTTGCGTTGCGAATGTGCGACTGACGATCAAGAATAGGTCCATTGAAGGTATGAGCTTCTAGAAATCGCAACCTTATGTCCCTTTGGGATATCCAAGGCTTTAAGGATGGTGCAGGATGAAGTAACCTGTTCCATATCTCAAGGGAGCTGAAAGAGGGAGGAAGTAAAAGAAAACACGAGAGGCAGAGTAGCCAATATTCATGTAGGAATGTTTAAGGTATGATTACTCAGTCTAATTTTCTTTTATTAAGGTATTTGTTAAGAAAGAGCATTTTAATAGGTTAAAGAAAATAAGCTTTAGCAAGGTGTGAGTGGACATACAACTGACAAATGGAGGCGATTCGGAAAAGAGCTGAGAGTATAAGATTATGTGTGATTATAAAATAAAATATAGTGCTAGAAACAGTATTGTGATATACAACTGGCTATCTTCCTTTTATTATCGAAGCTATTAGAGCCCCTTTCGTTTTTTTTAAGGTTTTATAGGGTCTTGAGTAGGCTTCGTATATTAGCGAATTGTCTAGTTTGCTTGTAATAGGATTTCTGAGTAGGAAGTGAAACCAATTTAACGTTCGTAACACGATTTAAAGAGGTATTTTGCGTGATAAATCAGCTTCAATACCTTAAGTCCGTGACATCCCACTAAACCATAAGGAGCCGTAATTAAACAAAATGTTCTGCCCTACAGACATGGGTGGATTGAAGTTATCTCCCCACCTTCATGTTTGCTGGTCAGTAACGCCACCCTCCCTCCTTTTGTGATGTTAGGCTCTCCTACGTTTGTGGTAAGTATGATTAATGCTTTAATCAAAGTACATAGTTGGAATACACTGTCTCTACTAGGTCCATGTTACAAGCAAATCAGATATTTAAAAATTCTGTTTTATGGGTTAGACGTCCATATAGTATATCACACTGCTATGAAAATAACTAATGGTTTAAAGAAGTAAGGATTAATAGTAAATCAAAAGATATGAGAGGGTATAAAATTGTAGAAAAAAAAAGAAAAAGACTTTAGGGTAAAAAAAATAAGACATTGAGAAACTCACAAGACTTTGTGGCCAAATTTTGAGCTTTGAATGATCGGCCTTAGTAGATCAGCATCCATAAGATTGAGCTATCTGTCTACTTGCAGTAGAAAAAAAAAGCATGACTTTTAGGAAGAATAATGTACATTTAACCTGTAGAGATTTGGGGACTGAAAGCTAGGGTTAGGAGCATGAAGTCATGATTAATAAACAATGAATAATAGGAAAGGATAAGCCATATATCCTGTGATTTGGTTATATTCATATTAGTAACAGTCGAACTTGTTAGAATTTTGTTCTTTCTAGATACTAGGCGGTCCATAATAAAGTGCCTCATCGGTGGGCGGGAGTTCAAGGTAATGTTGAAGCTCTTTGGAGTCTAGAAATAGGGTTATTAGCTTTTTGAATCTGGTAAACGTATCACAGTTACGGATAGGCATTGGCAGCCTGTTCCACAATAAACTGTACCGTACTGTGAAGAACTTACAACGCATTTGTTTTTGGTGTTTTACGGTAAGTAGTGTATATGCGTTGTTTCTAAGTCTATAGGCTGGGTCGTGGGTGATAGTCGGGCAGGAGGTTAGAAAGGAGAGCCCATATATCGCTTTGTAGAGAAATATTAAATTGTTTTTTAGCCTACGGTGCCATAAAGGTTCTAAAGATAGATGCTTACATCTGTCTGTGTAATCGAGATTCGAGTTACATCCTAGTAGTTGACGTGTGAAACGTCTTTGAACATCTTCTACTCTTATCTTGTCTGCGATATTCATATTAGAGAAGACAAAAGAGCAGTATTCAAGGGTGGGTCGTACACATATTTTGTAGAGAGTAAGTTTACCCTCTGTTGTGAAAAAGTTTTTCATTATAAAACCAATTAGCCGTCTAGATTTAGAAATAATAGAGGAGGCATGTTCTTCAAAGTTTAGGCTTCCTGTGTAATTAATTCCTAAATCGTGTACTGATTCGAGTGTTTGGACTATACATTCATTTAAGTGAAGTCGCGGTTTATAGGGATGCTTTCCAAAGTGCATGATCCCGCACTTGTTGAGGTTAAATGGTAATTGCCATTTTTCACTCCATATAGTTAAGTTATTGAGGTCCTTTTGGATCTGGGATACACTTTCGCTTAGTGTCTCAGGCTTATAGCTGTATACTATTTTGAGATCATCAGCATATAAGTACGGTTTCCCAAATTCTATGGTGTTACATATATCGTTTATATACATAAGAAACAAAAGTGGCCCTAATACGCTTCCCTGGATGACTCCACTGGTGATTGGTCTAGGGGACGAGAGACA